TGGGCCGTCTTGGAGACATCTTGGGGCCAACTTAGCCGTCTTGGAGGCCATCATGGCCGTCTTGGATGCACCTTGGCCGTCTTGGAGGCCATCTTGGGGCCGTCTGGGGCAGGAAAACCGTTTGCAACCACCTCTTCCGGGTGGCCGGCGGGACGTGACAAAGCCCCAGGGGGAGTTCTTTTGGAAAAAGAACCAAAACAAAAACCGAGAGGGTCTTGCACGCCAGGCACCCCTGTGATGAATCAACAGGGGGCGGCGGATCGAATGGCCTTCGGCCCATCCCGCCACCGTGCTTGGGTTGTGGATACACGAAGCCTATTGGATGTTCGTTGGGATCTCGTGGGAGGCCTCTCGGTGGCCTCTTGGAGGCAGTTTGGAGGCCTCTTGTGGGCCGTTTTTTTGCCTCTTGGGGCCTGTTCGGGGTCTCTTGGGGGCCTCTTGGGGGCCTCTTGGGGGCCTCTTGGGGGCCTCTGGGGCCTCCTGGGCGCCACTTGGGGCCTCCCGGGCGCCTCTTGGGGCCTCCTGGGGCTCTTGTGGCGGAAGGCTCGCGTTATCGGTTTGTGTTCCCCCTCTCGGGCCCATTTGGGACCATCTTCGGGCCTTCTTGGGCAGCGGGCCAGAGGTGAGCTGGTACACTGCTGCCAGCGCCTGTTCATCGACAGGGGTTGGAAGCCAGCCCGCACCTCCCTAGGGCCTCTAGAGGTACAGTGGCGGTGCAGTGAGGCGTGCTGGCCGAAGCCGGCGGGGTCGGGGTCACGGCGGCCAGGGTAGCGCCATCGCGCGGAGTGTCATAAGCAAGCGTGTGGGAGAGTGAAGGGGGGAAAGGAGGGGAGAGGATGGGAGCAGAGGTGACTGGTTAGTGTGGGTTTGCCGCGCCTGCAACGGATGACTCTCGCAGGTGAACCACGTGCGGAGCAGTGCCCTGGAATATAATACTCCTGTCCTAGCCGATTCGAGGGCCTTCGAGTCCTGGCCCCGCTCGCTACTCGGGGTCCGTGGCGCCTCGGCCCCAGCCGAGACACTTCTCGGGGTCCCCAGGGGGGCAGCAGGGACAGCCAGGGCCCGCGAAGGGCCCCCAGGGCGAGAATGTCGAGGCGAGTCGGGCGCGGCTACAAGGGACTGCCAAACCTGGGGGCAGGGGCCTCTTCTGCCGCCTCCAGCTGCCTCGCCCCAGCTGGAACGCGCGAAACTGGCCACCAGTGGGCCCGGGCAGTGTCTAAACATTCCGCCCGCCTGGGCGCAAATGTATAGATCCTGTCTGGGGCCACCCCTCGTGCCCCTCCGCTGCAGTGAACCCCTGCTCGGTCGGGGCCAGGCTGGCGGCCCCAGCGCCGGATGCTTCCTGCCTCTAGGTCTTATGAGACGACTACAGTGACATCACCTATCTCCCCGGTTAGTGTCGGCCCTAGCCTAACAGGTGCGGCGCTGTGGATGCCAGGACTGCTGCTGGGAGAGTCGGTCAGGCCGGAATAACGGACCGCGAGCCAGTGGGGCATGCCGTGCATAGCCTTAACCCGCAGTCCTGGCATAATGTTTGAGATCTAGTAAGGCCCTAGCCTAACAGGTGCGGCTCTGTAGAAGCCAGGAAGTTTGTCGCGAGTGTTGAGTCGGTTGGGCCAAAACAGCGGTTCGTGGGCTAGCGGGGTATGCTATGCGTAGCCTTAGCACTCAGTCCTAACAGGATTCCCGAGATCTGCCTGAACATGTGCACGGATGTCAGCACTCCCGCCGTGTTTGTTGAGTCGCTACAGCCGAAACAACGGACCGCAGGCCATTGGGGCATGCAGTGCGTAGCCGTAGCCCACAGTCTTGGCAAAGTTCCTGAGCTAATGATGGTGTTCATGATGATGATGGTGATGATGATGATGATGCTGATGACGCTGCTGCTGATGATGATGATCATGATTATGATGATTATGATGATGATGATGATGATGATGATGATGATGATGATGATGATGATGATGATGATGATGATGATGATGCTGATGCTGATGCTGATGCTGATGCTGATGATGATGCTGATGCTGGTGATGATGATGCTGATGCTGATGATGATGATGATGATGATGATGATGATGATGATGATGATGCTGATGATGCTGATGATGATGATGATGATGATGATACTGATGCTGATAATGATGATGCTGATGGGTGTCAGCTGGTGGCGTGGCAGAAGGAGGCTGGCCAGCTGGCGACCTACTCCGCAGTGCTTTACCCCACAGCCCGAGGCCCACGCTTGGAGCACTGCGTATCCCTGGATAGGGAGGAGAAGCAGGAAGTGCATCGGGGTTGCGCGGAGGGGTGGTTGGAGGAGGAGGAAGTGGAGGAGGAGGAGGAGGAGGAGGAGGAGGAGGAGGAGGAGGAGGAGGAGGAGGAGGAGGAGGAGGTGGAGGAGGAAAAGGTGAAGGAGGAGGAGGAGGAGGGAGGAGTCGGGAGGAGTTCTCTCCTCTTCACTCCTCGCCCCCGCCCCGAGAGTGAGCACGCCACGGACCGAAGGCTTGGGTTTGTTCATTCGGTCGTTCCCCCCCCTTCTCCTCCCCCTCCTCGTCCTCCTCCTCCCAGCTCTTCCCTCCCCCGTCTAGACCTCTCCTTCTCTTCCTCATTCTTCTGCTCCTCCTCCTCCTCCTCCTCCTCCTCCTCCTCCTCCTTATCTTCTTCCTCGTCCTCATCCTCCCTCCATCTCTTCCTTCTCATCCCGTCTCCTCCCTGTCAAGCTCGGGTTCGAGCCTTTGTCAGGATCCTTGACGGCTCGCGCTTTCCCCAGGTTTGATGGCCATGAGCTGCTAGCTTGAGCGCTCCCGCCAGGTGAGTTGCAGTGAACGCTGGGGGATACTAGTGAATGGTATCAAAGCGTCCCGAGCTGCGCCTGTACGTTCTGGCGCACCTCGTCAACGGCGACCTCGGGGCGCGCGTTGCGGACTTTGCAGCGCGTTTCAGCGCATTCGACGTTTTTCTTTTCGATCGCGGACCCGCAGCGCACGGTTTGCCTCCCGCCGCCGCCGCCGCCCTTGGCAGCTGGCTCCCGGCAGCCTATGGTGGTGGAGCAGCTGCCCGCGGCGGTGGAGCAGACCGAGTCGGCGATGGTGAAGCAGCTATGGCGTTGGGAGCGCTTGCGTCTTGCAGTGGAGGCGCTGAAGGTTTCGCAGGTTCAGTCCAGGTGGAGGTTCAGGTGCCAGCCGGGCTGCTGCGGACAGGGCGGTCTCGCCCCCCGGCATAGCCAAGTCGGTGGATGCGTTTAAGTCTTCGGCGGCGCAGGGTACCTCTACGAGCACTACTTCACCAGCGCCCTAGAAGAGGCGTTGCAAGCACGTGTTGAACGACTGCGCGCGCATCCTCTAGCGCATGGGAGTATATGCCGGCGGGTTCGGAGCCGGACAGGGTGGAAGTCGCTTCTTCGGCGACGGGTGGGTGTCCTACTCGGCCGCCTGCTCCCGTGACGCAGCCCACACCTCCGACTCCGCCGGCAGGATTGAGAATCCCTCGGACGCCACCAAGGAGGTGAAGACCTTCTGCATTGGCGACCGGCCACGTCTCGCAGCTGATGGTGGAGGTGCAGCCCCCGACACGCCAGCCCTCCGTGGCGATGTCGCTCATGTCGGCTGTGGCACGTTTGCCCTGCGTGGCGGTGTCCCCCATGACGGCTCTGGCACGTCAGCCTGCAGCGGCGGCGACCAGGAGTCGAATTTCGGAGCTGGCACGTCAGCCCTCAGTGGCGGTGTCCATCTTGGCGCGTAGGCCCCCCAGTGGCGGTGCCCCTTTCGAGTGGGAGGCTCGTTCTGCGTCTTCTGCTCTCCCTTTGGGCGGTGGCTGGTGCTACGAACGGAGCCTCAGGGACGACAATAATTAAGAAGAAGAAGAAGAAGAAGAAGAAGAAGAAGAAGAAGAAGAAGAAGAAGAAGGTGAGGTCGCATGTGGTCGAACCCGCATTGGAGCAGCAACAGGTGATCGCCGCAGCTCCTGGCACGAATCCTTCCACTTTCGAGGTCGCCTCTGAGGCCCTCGCCGCGGACTTGCCGTCCGGTGTTTCGCAGTGTTGCAAAAGAGTTGGGCGACACGGATGTTGCATTGCTAAGGGGGCTTCGCTGGTAGCGGAGCTGCGCTCTCGGAGTTGCAGAAGCGGCCGTCGCTGAGGCCACCCGCTTTGGAGGCGGCCTCTCGGAGAATGACAGGTGGTGCGAATTCGAACGCTACTTTCCTGCCAAGTGTGCGGGGCCTGGCGACACAGCGGAAGTGATGTCTACTCTGGGATTGTCATCTTGGTCGATGGCCAGATCCAGCGCCCCTGGATTCTGTTATGGCATTCTCCTGCGTGCCAGTCTCCCCAGAAGCTGGTCACTGCAGCAGCCTGCAGCAACAGAAAACCCATCTCCTTCCTCCATGCTCTCTCTCTCTCTCTCTCCGCCTCCTCCTGGCGGCGCGCAGAGGGGGGTAGGGGGAGGGGGGAAGGCTTCTTAGAAGGAGGCTGCTCCTTAGAAGGCGCCAGCCTTGCCCCCTTCCTGCGCGCCGCCAGTCCTCCTCGGTTTCCCCCCCCCTCCCTCCCTCCTCCCGGCGCCACCCCCACCTCCCTCCCTCCTCCCTCCCTCGCTTTTTTTGGATGCGGGGGGTGGACTACTGCCCTTGCTTCTTTGGTGCCCGTGCAGAAGTTTCTATTCTGACTAATATTCTGCTAGCTGCAGCGCCGCCCAGTCTCGACAAGCCGTACAGTCGGGGCGCTGAAGAAGGAACCCTTTTCGTTGGGGAGGGGCTCGGTGTCCCTTGATCGTTTCACAGCTTGCCTCAGGTTTTCCTTATGTTTCCGGTGGGTGGGAAATCGAAGTTTAACTCATGGGAGAAAGGGGCCTCGTTCCTTCTCTAGGGTTCCTTAGGTCAACGCCCCGACTGCATGCTTCAGCGAGGAGGCAATCCAGAAAAGAGTCCTCCCTCGCTCCCTCCCTCCCCCACTCCCCCTCCCCCCCCCTCCCCTCCCTCCCCCTCCCCGCCCGCGCGCCGCCGAGGCTCCCTGTTCTCCAGGTGAGCCGGGCGCGGCCGCGGCGGGCGCTCCCAGCGGGCGGGCCGCGCGGGAGTCGGCGGCCTCGACCGCTGGCCCCGGGGGCCCGGGGCCCGGGGCCCGGGAAGGGTGCGCAGCCGTCGGGGGCGGCAGGGAGGGGGGGGGATGACGAGGGGGGGGGGGTGGATGTCGTGGCGGGGGCCATGATATTTCCCAGGAGGGAACAAAAACACACAGACACAATTCATCGTCGATGCCCCCGTAAATCTAGGAAAATATGGAAAGTGTGGGGGGGAAGACAAAGACCCAGAAAAAAAATGAGAAAATGTGGGGAACCTTTTTATTTGTGTGTATTTTTTTGTGTGTCCCAGGGCCCCTTCAATTTCACCAGATCTCAGGGCGCCTCTTCTTATTTCATGACAGCCCTGAACCCCCCCCCCGCTGGGCCGCGCACATGCCGCGGGCCAGGATTTGCGCCCCCTCCTCTTGGACGCCCCCCTCTTGGCCGCCCCCGAGAAGGGTACACAGTCGGGGCGCCGAAGCAGGAGCCCTTTTCGTGGGGGAGGGGCTCGGTGTTCCTTGATGGTTCTGCAGCTCGCCTCGGGTTTGCCTCGCAGGTGTTCCACGGGAAGTCGACGTTCCACTTAATGGGGAAATATGGGGGCCTCGTTCCTTCTTTAGGGCTCCCGAGGGCAACTCCCCCCCACTGTGTGGGGGAAGGGGGGCGAGCTCCCAGACCCCCGGCGCCACGACTGTCTCACTACGTCGACCCTCTCTGGAGGTCTCGGCCCCTTCCCCCGGGGCCGGGGATTTTCCTCCTGGCTCGTGTTGCGACGGGGTCCCGAGGCCCAGGAAGGGGCCCCCAGAGGCCGAGCACAGCGAGGAGCCTCCGCCCCGATGTTTTGATTCTCGCTGGAGCTCTCCTCCTCCTCCTCCTCCTCCTCCTCCTCCTCCTCTTCCTCGTCCTCCTCGTCCTCCTCCTTCTCCTCCTCCTCCTCCTCCTCCTCCTCCTCCTCCTCGTCGTCCTCCTCCTCCTCCTCCTCCTCCTCGGGGTTTCGGGCTCGAAGTTCGAGGCTCTGGGTCGTGTGTTTGGAGGTCCTCGTCGGGTTTTTGTTCCGTCCTCGGGCGTGCCGCCCAGCGGCCGCCCCTCGCCGAGGAGAGGGCGCCTCTCTCGGGGCGCCCGGGGAGACCGCCCCGAGCGGCCGCCGGAGACCCCAAACGAGGCCCCGAAGAGCGGGGTGGCCTCTCCGTGCGCTCTATATATCGGGAGACTCTCCATGGGGGGGGATCCTATGGGATCCCCCCCTCTGGGATCCTATCCCCCCCATGGGATCCCCCCCCCCCCATGAAGAGTCTCCCGACTATATTCCCCACCCCCTTCACACTGTCAGCAGCTCGCGGCCGGCACGGTGGTGCTCCACGCCTCGCGGGAGAGCCAGGTGACCCGAGAGAAGAGGTCCCGAGAACGGGGTGACCTCTCCGTGCGCTCTATATTCCCCACCCCCTTCACACTGTCAGCAGCCTGCGGCCAGCACGGTGGTGCTCCACGCCTCGCGGGAGAGCCGGGTGGCCTCTCTCTTGTCCCGTGTCGATCCGATCGATGTGATTCGATGCGAGTTGCGCCCAGCTGGGCCCGCTCAGGTCTCGAGCGGTCGCCAGAGCCCCAGGGATCGTCCCGAGCGGCCGCCAGAGACCCGAGAGAGGTCCCGAAGACCAGGAGGCCTCGTCTCCTGCTCAGTTGCCTCAATACGCCCGTCTTGAAACGCAACGCGTCCCGTGCTCGAGACGTCCGTGTCGATACGTTGCGTGCTGGCTCCACGTCTTGGACCACGTTTGGGCGAATGTGTCGCGTCGGACCTACGTTTTCAGCCTACGTGTTGAGCTCCGTATCAATACGATACGTGTTGCGTGTTGCGTATCGGGGCAGCTAAGGTGACCATATTACCTCGTCTCCTGTCCCATGTCGGAAACTGGAGCCTATACATTACCAGTGTCGGGCCGTTTTTCGATCCCAGGGCTGTTGGAGGGTCGGGGGCGACGTCGGGGTGGTGTGGTGTATATTTGTTTCCCCGCTCTCCCGGGAAACAGTGGGAAATGCATACACCAGGGTCCCGTATGCACCAGGCTCCGCTCTCCTGTGCAGATATGTCCGTGCAGGGCAGCGCAAAAAATCGTCGGTGTAGAGAGTTCGGCTCCCTACCAGGTCGATCCGATCGATCTGATTCGATATAAGTTGCGCCCAGCTCGATCCGATCGGGTCTCGGTTGCCCGGCGGTCCGATCTTCGGCCCGGTGCCTGCACGGCGCTGCTGTCGTGCATCCCGGCGCAGCCGATCCGGTTCGATTGTTCGGCTCCGTGCTGGTGCGGCCCGATGCTGCGCAGGTTCGAGTTCGATGCGATCTCCCCGTCCGCTGCCGACGGATCCTGTCTCGGGCGCCTGCCGCGACGGCTTCGATCGCCAGCTAAGATCGCCAGCCTCTTCGAGAGCGCTGCCTCGGGCTGTCCGAGGACCTCGTTCCGACCAGCGTTCCGATCTTCCCCCGCCGCCCCCCCTCCGGGCGAGCTTCTGGTGCATACCCCGGCCCACCCTTCCATCGGGGGCCCAAGAATATACACCACCACCACCACCTCCCCCACCTCCCTCTCGCTGGAAAGAGGAGAGAGGAGGAATCGACGTGGTGGTGTATATTCTTTGGCCCACCCTTCCAGGAGAGTGCAGGGGCAGATGAAGTAAGACATTGGCCTGCCAACGGGCGCCCCACGATAGCTTCCTATCTTCCGATGGGGCCATTGAGCCCTCAGGCACCTAACGTTGTGGAAGTCGATTAATGGAGAGGAAGCATGCTGCCAATCATGTTTCAAGTAGGTGTTTTAACTATGTTGAAAATATGTTTGATACATTCTTAAACATGTTTTACACATTTCAAACACATTTGTAATTCAATGATGGGATTGTTAGAGTGTCCATTGTCATGGCATCCACAAGCCTAACGAAGCTCAGAGCCGAAGAAGGACGTGCCAATAGCTACTGGCCTTCGTCCCCTGCCGACGCCGTGGCTACGTTGTGGGCCAGAGGCCTCTCGAGTGCCTGTGGGGATCTCTTAGCGAGCCGCTCGGAAGCCTCTTGGAATGGGTTCTGGGGGCGTCTTGGGGCTTCTCGGGGCCTTTGAAGGTTTCCTGGGGCATGATTTGGGCCTCCTGGGGGCACCCTGGGGCTTCTGGGGTACCCCTTGGAGGCCTGCTGGCGATGTCGGGGGTCATCTTGGGGCGGAGAGCGCGAAATATTAGTTCGAGTTGCCCCTCTTGGGGCCCTCTTCAGCCCCTCTTGGGCCATCTTGGGCACCTCTTGGGCCGTCGCGTGACTCTGTTGAGCCGTCTTGGGACTCTCAGCGGCCTCTTGGGCTGTCTTGGAGCGATCCTGGGGGTCTCCTGGGCCGCCTTGGACGCTGTGAGCGCCGAATCACCGAACATGCTGAACATGTACTTTTCGTTTGGGAATGGAGCGATTCTGACCTCTGTGGGCCCTCTTGGCGGTGCTCTGGGGCTCTCTTGGGGCATCGTTTGTGCTTCTTGTGCAGTCTTGGGGCCAACTTGAGCCGTCTTGAAGCTGTCTTGCTCCGCTCTTGGGCCTTCATTGGCCATCTGACTTTTTTGAGACACTCGAGGATTTTCCAGAGCTCCAGACAGCTCTCAGGAGCTCCCAGGAGTGGCTTGAAAACTGGGGGTCTGGGCCCTTAAGAACCTTGCAACCCCTTTACCTTTCAGGGCTGCATGAGCCTTTGGGCACTCCAATACGCGCTGAAGGCACGGTGGCGGATATTCCTTCTAGCAAGATGTGATCTCGTGCATGCCCTCTGCATTGCATCACGATTCGGCCCTGAATGCGAGGGGAGGGGATCGGAATGGCAGCTCGGGGGCTGCCTGGGCTTCGACCAACTGGCGATCGACGGATCATCTGCCCCGGCTCGAATCGGCGGCAGCCCCTTGCCCGGGCCTCTCCTGTGGACCAATCCGCACCTCTCGAGCACGAGCTCGGTGGCCCTCGCCGCCATCAGGACGAGTGCAGCGCCTGCACACCGCTGTCTGCTGCCCATGTATCAGGTGTTGCCGACGCGCCGTCGAGGCGCCGTTCTTGCTTGCCCGCGCTGCCTCCAGGGCGAGCGCGGCAAGGCCTTTTCCGGGTGCCTGCCGCTAGTTCCGCCACCGTGCCAGCGCAGCACCCTGCACGGCTGCGCCCAGGAAGCTGTAGCATGTGACACATATCTTTTCTGTTCTCTGAGGGGCTCTCGTGAGGCCCACCTGGGCCTTCTTGGAGCTGACGTGGGCTCCTGTGGGGTCGTCTTGGGGCCCTCTTGGCACTCTCTGTGGCCTTCTTGAGGCCCTCTTGCGCCGTCTGGAGTGTCTCTTTGGGTTGTCTTTGGGGCATCTTGGAGCCCTGTTGTTGGGGCTTTCCAAGGGCTCGCTCGGGCCGTCCTGGGCCCCGTCTCAGCCGTGTTTGGGGCCTCTTGCGGCTGTCCTGGGCCGTCTGGCAGGTTTTATGAATGTCCCTCATCGGGGTCTTTTGGCATCCGTTTGTCTCCTTAAGGCGAAGCCTGGACGGGGACAAAATCGGATCGGGACACATCGGGGATCTCTGATGAGATCTTGTGATTCGGGAGGCTTTATCGGGCGCCGCGGTCACTCCGGAGCGCTCCAGAAGGCTATCCGATCGTTCCGGAGCGCTCTGGAGCGTTTTATTCCGTTCGGCTCGTCTGATTCCTTGAATGCCTTGGGACCAAGCCGAAGAGGCCGGAAACCACAAAATGCACGATCATCTGAGGAGTTTCTCAGGCGCTTGGGTGGTTTTGGCCTTTCTGGAAGCTTCTTGGCCTTTCCTTCTGGTCTCTTGGAAGCTTCTTTGCGCGTCTTGGACGCCTCTGCGGACCTTCTCGGGGGCTGCCGGGTGGAAATTCGGGGGAGAGTTGGAGAGCCCCAGAGAGGCGTCAGGCTTCCCAGGGAGCTTCGGGAGAGGAGGGTCGGTGCACGCAAGGGGGTGTGATGAGAGGCGGGGGGGGCCTTCGAAGATGTTCAGAAGTTCTACCAGACAGCACCTGGCATTCTACCACGCCTCAGCGTGCTGTGGGCACACCGGCATATTTGAATACCCTAACGATCGATGCGCAGCCGCGGGCAAGCCATCGGCTTGCGTCGCCGACGTGGCGGGAGCGCGCGTCGCCGCGCACTCTTGCCTGTTTTTTGCTCTTCCTCGCCTCCGCCGCACCAGTCTCCGCTCGTGGTGGCGAGGACCCGCCGGCACACTTGGCACGACGTCGCGCCGGAAAGCCGCACGCGAGGGGGGGGAGGAGCAAGGGGGAGGTCCGATGGCACCCGCCAGTGTGGCCGTCCTCTGTACTCCCTTCGACGCGCCTCCCTCCTGGCTTGGGCTGCGCAGCGGAGGGAGGGAGGATAGGGGGGAAGAGGTGGAGGAGGAAGGAGGTGGAGCGAGGGGGGAAGAGACCGAGGAGGAAGGAGGTGGAGCGAGGGGGAGGAAGAGGGGAAAGGGGGGGCGGAGGAGGGAGAGGTGGAGCGAGGGGGGAAGGGACCGAGGAGGGGATGGGGAGACAGAGAAGGCCAGAGCAGGGAGGAGGCCGGCCGGCCTGGTGGGGACAAGGGGTGCTCCCCGGAGAGAGGAGGAGAGAGGGAGTGGGGAAGTGAGGGGGACTTTCATCGGTGAGGTGGGGGGGGGGAAGGAGGGAGGAGGAGTAAGAGGAAGAGAGAGGATGAGGATGAGCATGCGCATGAGCATGAGGAGGAGGAGGAGGAGGAGGAGGAGGATGAGGATGAGGAGGAGGAGGAGGAGGTGGAGGAGGAGGAGGGGCAGGACAGCTACTCCTGTGGCCTTTGTGCGACCCCTGGGAGGAGCGCCTTGCTCTCCGTATGCTGCTGCTGTATCATGCAGGGTTTGGTATCGCCAGCAGGGGGCTCCTTCTCCTACATACTCGACCTTTCTGGTCCCTCTTCCTCGTTCTCTCCTTCCCTCCCTCCTGCACCTCCTGCTGACTGCGTCGGAGCCCGCTGTCTTTCCATCCGCGGCCAATAACACAATATATATATATATATATATATATAGAGAGAGAAACAGGTTATGTTAGGTGAGGTAAGGTAAAGAAAAGAGCGAATCCGTAACCGCACACGGAGGTGTTGTATATATATATATAGACAGAGAGAGAGAGAGAGAGAGAGAGAGAGAGAGAGAAAAAAACAAAAAAGAGGTTGGATGAGGTGCGGTGAGGTGAAGTGAGGAGCGGAACAGTAACCGCACACGGAGTTTTAACTATTTGCATGGGAGTGCCCGCAGGGAGGGTGGGGCAAGACACGGAGTGAGGTGGTGGAGTGTCTCTCAGATGTTCGAAGGCTTCCCTGAGCTTCCCGTGCCTAGGGCTAGATGCATGATGATGGCTGCTGCTTGCATGGCCCTTGAGTCTACTGCTCCCACCGCAGCTCCCACACCACAAAACGAGAGATGAGTCGTTCACTTCCCCCTGTCGTAAGTCCAATTATTTGCAGTGAACATTCGCGCGAAAGGCGCAGTATGCACTTGACAGTGGGAACCCCTCGCCCAGAGCATCTTGAGACCCGATTCGCCATCCCCGCGCATGTGTTTTTCTGTCGCGTCAGCGCTACCATGAATCCATGCGCCATTCCAGAGGCCCTCTGGACCGTCCATAGGCTCCCCGATGTCTTCAGAGGCTCGTGGAGGTATCCAGGGATACCCCGTGCACATCATCGAGGAGCGTGCTGCATCTTGAAGGGAAACGCGAGCGCAAGCAACGTAAGTGATCCCTTTTGTCTTTGGCTTCTGGCCCTCACGTCATCGCTTTCGGCCTTCGCGCCACATGCAGCCTTTTCAACACTGCCACGCCCGCCAGAAGCTGACGACGGCAGAGGTTGGCAAACTGCGCTCATTGCGTGAAATTTCCGCTCCCCATCTGATGGGACGGGAACTCCTCTTTGTGGAAGATGATGATGAGGAGGAAGACGACGACCACGAGAAGGAGGAGGAGGAGGAGGAGGAGGATGAGGAGGAGGAGGAGGAGGAGGAGGAGGAGGTCTGGCACGTGAGGCACGTTGCCACCAAGACCGACTATGGAATCGGCATTTTTCAGTGAATTTGTGTGCATATGACCACCAGAAAGTAACATGACTTATGGAAAACACGCGCAACTGACAGGATGAAACACGAATCCCACGCAGAAAACCTAGGAGATGTGCGAAACCGCGACGCAACATCCACATCTCGGAAAGAGCATGTTCTACCGCTGCTGGCGGAAAACCGGGGGGGGGTCACTACCGGTTCGACCCCCCCCTCCCCCTCTGGAAAACCGGGGGTGGTCACTACCGGTTCGAACCCCTCCCCCCCCCAGTCCATCATGAAAAGGGATGGGGGGTCACTACCGGTTCGAGTCACTACCGGTTCGAACCCCCCCCCTCTCGAAAACCTGGGGGGGGCTGCGGACAGTGGTGGGGACGGTGGTGGTGGGGACAGTAGTGAGGGGACAGCGGGACAGTGGTGGGAACAGTGGAACAGTGGTGGGGACGGTGGTGGGGACAGTGGTGAAGGCGGTGGTGAGGACAGTGGTGGGACAGTAGCACAGTGGGGAAAGTGGTGGGGACAGTGGGAAAAGTGGGACAGTGATGGGGACAGTGATGGGGACAGTGGGGACGCTGGGACAGCACAGTGGGACAGCGGCGGGGACAGTGGGACAGTAGTGGGTACAGTGGGGACAGTGGGACAGTGGTGGGGACCGTGGGGAAAGTGGGGAGAGTGGGACCGTGGTGGGACAATGGTGGGAAGAATGGGGATATTGACACACTGGTGGGGGCACTGGTGGGGACAGCGGGGGACAATGGTGGGAACAGTGGGGACAGTGGTGGGGACAGTGGTGGTGGGGACAGTGGTGTGGGGACAGTGTGAATGTGGTGGAAGCAGTGGGACAGTGGAGGGTACAGTGGTGGTGGGGACAGTGGTGAGGGCGGTGGCGAGGACGGCGGTGGGACAATGGGACAGAGGTACAGTGGGGACAGTGGTGGGGACAGTGGGGACAGTGGTGGGAACAGTGGGACAGCTCAGTGGGACAGCGGAGGAGACAGTGGGACAGTGGGGACAGTGGGGACAGTCGGGGCAGTGGTTGGGGCCGTGGAGAAAGTGGGGAGAGTGGAACCGTGGTGGGAACAGTGGCGGGGACAGTTGGTACAGTGCGACAGTGGTGGGGGCACTGGGGACAGTAGGGACAGTGGTGGAACCAGTGGCGACAGTGATGGTGAGGACAGTGGTGCTGGGAACAGCAGTGGGGGTTGTGGTGCGGACGGTGGTAGGGACCAGGAGTCGTTTGCTGGCGGTGAGGGGGGGGGGAGGGGTTCGAACCGGTAGTGGCCCCCTCCGGTTTTCGAGGGGGAGAGGTGGAGGGGGGGTTCGAACCGGTAGTGACCCCCTTCGGTTTTCGAGGAGGGTGGGGGGGGATTCGAACCAGCAGTGACACCCCCCCTCGGTTTTCGAGGGGGGGGTTCGAACCGGTAGTGACCCCCCCGGTTTTCTGGAGGGGGGGGGTCTCGAATTGGTAGTGACCTTCGGTTCGAACCGGTAGTGACCCCCCCTCGGTTTTCCGGGCGGGGGATTCGAACCAGTAGTGACGCCCCCCCGGTTTTCTGGAGGGGAGGAGGGGGGGGTTAGGGGAGGGGGGGGGTTTTGCCGGGGGAAGGGTGGGGGGGTCCAGCAGGGGGGGGGATTTTCGGAGGGGGGGGGGGACCCCTGGGTTCCAGAGGAAGAGGAGGGGGGAATGTTCTACAGTACAGCGGCGGTGGATCACGCTCTCTCACATCTCGAAACGCATCCCAAACCGCCAGCGAACGCAGATCCCACCGGACTTAATAGTACGACGTGGCACTATGTACGGTACAGAAAACGGTAGAAATCAGTTGACCAAGCACATTGAGAATAATTGCCAGCCTCCTTGCACGCCCATTGCTACCCGTGACAAAATGCACCACGCCACCAGAAAATATACTATAATACCCTCCCCTGGCAGAAACGGGAGATGCCTGCACTGAAACGGATGATGTATGTCCCCAGCTTGAACGCCCAAACAGAACACAAGAAGTATACCACCATGCAGCTATGTCGAATGCCAGTCATGAGCATACAGGAAAACTCCAGAGCACTGAATACGCGGAAGTGCACTTCACTACCACAGGCGACCTCATGTACATGCGTAAAGCCAGAACCTGCACAGGAACACACGGCGAAACGTAACTACCAGACCAGCCCAAATTGAATGAAGTACACATAAAAGCATGTGCGAGGTGCCAAGCTGCCAGAGCCGTGGGCCACGCTCCAAAAGTGAGCGTACTAACAGCCCTGCCTGCCATGAGACCTCGAACAAGATGTTCGGGACAGGCGCACTCAAGAACCAATAAAGAACCCATACGCTGTAAGAGTGACCAACCTGCCACTACATATTTTGTTAAACAAGCAATGCACGCGAATGGTGAAGATGCGGCTGGCCACTGTCCTGCGCAAACACTGTACACCTGCTGAACATTGTACTTAAGTTCGCCCATTCTAGCCATCCCACGCCAATAGCCACCGATAAATGCGACGAGCACTACGGTTGATTATTTGGTGGGAGCCCCCCAAGCGCAAACGAGGAGGCAATGTGCTGGGCGCCCCATGGCAAGTTCGAGCCCCAAAGGGTACGATGCCTTCGGCCACCCGTGCCCCAGCTTCAAGCCACCCCCCCCTCTCCCCTGGGAAAGGGGGGGTGCGTCCGAGGCGAAAATGAGACGAATTACAACCAACTGGGGCGGATTCCAACTATTTCGGACCCAATCTCAACCAACTGGGACCAATTACAACTATTCTTTCAGCTCTCAGAAGATTCTCGGAACGCTGCTTCAAGGTTCCTGACGGAGGCTTCTTGGAGGTTCCTGAGAGGCTCCTTCCTTATGGCAAGACATCCTATCGCCTGTGTCTGCTGTACTTCTCCGCCCTCCCTCCCCCGCGCAGAGGGGGCGGCCGGGCGCTCGGAGGCGGGCGCCGAGAAGGGCCGCGCGAGGGCCTCGTCGTCGTCGTCGTCGTCGTCGTCGTCGTCGGCGTCGGCGTCGGCGTCGGCGTCGGCGTCGGCGTCGGCGTCGGCGTCGGCGTCGTCGTCGTCGGCGTCGGCGTTGGCGTTGTCGGCGTCGGCGTCGGCGTTGGCGTGGTCGTCGGCGTCGGCGTCGGCGTCGGCGTCCGTCGGCGTCCGTCGTCGTCGCGGTCGCGGGCGCAGCCGCGCCGAGCGCCGCGAGCGCCGCGAGCGCGGGGCAGCCGCGCGCACCACCACCCCCGGCACCCGGGTCGGCCCCCTCCGGCCTTCCCCTCTGCGCGATGCGGGGGGCCGGCCTGGCGGAGGCGCGGCCCGGGCAGAGGCCCGCGGGGGAGGGGATCTCGGGGCTCGCAGTGCAGCGCACGGGGGTCGTCGCTCCAGGAAAGACGCGAAAGAGCAGGGGACTCGGCATCGCTCGGACGTGTGCATTGTTCCTTCGGCGAGGACCATCGAGGAGCAGTCTTGATCTTGTGGCAAAAAAAACCACGCACGAAACCGAAAAAAGCACAGGGAATGGACGTCCGAGCGATGGCCAGGGGAAGCATCCATCCTTCGCCTCTCCTTCTTCCTCCCCCTGGACGACAGAGACCCCAAAGGGTGCCGCACGAGCGGTCTCGGGGTCGGCGCTCACGGGGGTGGGCCACTGCCCTCCGAGATGCTCCGGCCAGGCCGGGATGTCGGAGCCGCCTGGAGCCCGACCCCGCTCCCCCGCCCTCTGCCGCCCCGGGCTCGGGGAGTTCCTTCGTGGCGGGCTCGGGCTCGCGGCGTGGCCCTGGCTGACCCGGGTCGGCACGGACCCGAGCGCTCTGCGTCCTCGAGGGGTGCAGCTGCCGAGAGAAGAAGTGCAATGCCCACGACCAAGATGTCGCGGGATCTAGTCGACGCCGATCTTCGAAGATGTCTTGTATCTGCGCTGGCCCCCCCCCCCTGGCGACGTCTCCAGGAAAGCCTCGCGGACATCAGAGGAATTACGTAAGTTTATGCCGTTTGTGGTTCATCTTGTCGACGTCGGCGTCGATTTCGGCCATGGCCCACGCTGGCCGTCGCCGATTCGCAAGAATGATCCACGAAATTGACGATGGCCAAGATAGACGATGACCGAGATCGACACCTACTTCTCCGCGTTCGATCTTGGTCATGGTCCTCGTTCTCCTCCCCTCCAAGTCGGAAGGGAGGGCGCTCTCAGGCTCGAGGATCAGCCACGCGCAGAGGGGGGTGGGAGGGAGGGGGGAGGGCTTCTCAGAAACACCCCTGCTTCTCAGAAGGCGCGGGCCTTGTCTATAGATGCAAGGCTGGCGCCTTCTGAGAAGCAGCTTCTTTCTAAGAAGCCATCCCCCCTCCCTCCACCCCTTTGTTCGGGCCGAACGAAAGGGGAGGATAGGGAAAGGGGGGGGTACGAAATCTGCTGCGTACAGCTGGTTTCGGCCCCGCCGCTGGGCCCATTCCTCGATACATGGGCGCCTCCCGGCGCCGGGAGGCGCTGGGAAAATTAGCTACGTGAGCTGCTTCTCTACCCTGCCCTTTGCTATCCCCCCCTTCAGTTCCCCCCGATTTGTGCGCACCGCCGAGAGGAAGCGCAGGCATGGATCCGGGCGCGTGGCTCAGCGACACGATCCCGCTTCTGTGAGCAGTCGGCGCGCTCCGCCGCCAGAGCGGGCCGCACCGGCACCAGGTGTCGCCCCGAAGCGTGGCTCTGGCGTTACGTCGGGCCTGTCCCTCTGCAGGAGGAGTATCCAGAAATAGTAAAACATAGTCGGGGGACTATTTCTCTTCTATTTTTTTTTTTTTTTTTGCCATTTTCAAGCGTTTGTCCGGGGTTCTCGTTATTCTTTGTCCAACATCCGCCTGTAGGGGGACCTGCCCGACCTAAATTTGGCGCCCAAGCGCCGAATCCACCGATCCGTGCTCCACGGTAGCCGATCTCGGGCGCGCGGGCAGCACGGCAGACACCACCTGCCACCGCGCCTTCCCTCCCCCTCCCCCATGCCCTCCCCTCGCCCCCCCTCCTTGCCCCTCCCCCTTCTCTCTGTTCTCCTCCCCTTCTCTCCCCAATGCCTCGCTCCGGTCCCTTCCGCTCCGCTCCGCTCCACCCCCTCGCTCCTCCTGGTGGCGGTGGGGGGGAGAGGAGGGGGACGAAGCGTGAAGCAGAAAAGGGGGAGACGGGGGAGGAGGAAACGAAGGAGGATGCGGGGGAGGAGGGGGGAGGAGATCAGGGAGGCCGAGGAGTTCCAGGATGGGGAAGAGGACTTGCACGCCCCTCCTTCCTTTCCTGATCCTGCCTGCTGGAGGTGCGTGGCGCGTGCGCGGTCACGGAGAGGGCGAACGGGGAGACGACGGCGGCGACGGGCGGGGCGACAAGCCAGGGAGGGGGAAGAAAAATACGGTAGGCTCGTGCGGCGATGGCGCGCTGGCGACGCCAGCGAAGGCGTTCCGGGTTGAACCCTGCATGATAGAACTTCGCGGACGCACTGAGGGGCACGGCCACGCCACGGGACCCGACGGAATTCAACCCTGAACGATCGGAGCCGCGATCGGTTCAAGTTTGAACGATCGACGTGGTGTCCACAACCTTTGCGCGCCCCGGCGGGCCTGCCGTGGCAGGCCAGGCGCCGAAGGGTGCGTGCGGCACTCGGAGCCACGGGAGGCAGCACGGGGGTGCAGGGTATAGTCGGAGGCCGCAGGAGGCACCCGCGGGGGAGTGCGGCAACCGGGGCCACAGTGGGCCCCGGGAGGCCAGCGGAGACCATCCGGAGGGCAGGTGGCCGAGCTCCCACGGGGGCAAGTCCGCGGACTCGGCATGAACTCCGTCTGGGGGCAGTCAGATGTCGGGTAAGTGAGCTACCCATGCAGTGGGGTCTCAGCTGGCCAGCGCGGGCCCTCTGGCGCACGTCCAGGGGCCGTTCCAGAGCCTCGCTGCGACAGCGCAGCGTGAGTGGCTATGGAAGGGGGCAGCGCCGATCGCCGTCCTTTTGCGGGCAAGCCGTCCAAGCGACATTGAGCATCAGGCTCGTTGTCGGTTGCGGCGCTGGCCCACTCGGTTGTACTAGTAGCCTTTCACGCAGCCTCTCGGCCGTCGCGCAATTTGACCACGTAGGTGGCTCCTCGCTCGCGCCGTCGGTGGCCCCGTCGAGCCCGATCCGAGCGGTCGTGCACGTTGCAAGCAGTGCGCTTCCATCCGTGAGTGCATGCTCGGCGTGCCAGAGGCTGCCTCCATGTAGCACCTCGACAGCCGCCCCGAGTGCCGTGCGACGCGCGCAGGCTGCCTGCGGCATGCCCAGCAGCTCCGACCGCCCGCCCGCCGTGCGGCTCGCGCAGGGCCTCCCTGCGGCGCGGCTGGCTGCTCCGGCCGCACCTCCTGGCCCTCGCGCGCGGAAGAGGCAGCCACGCGTACGGGCGACCCTTCGCAGTAGTGGCCTTCGATGCGCGGCTCTCGGGGGCGCCGAGGGGACCGGGCCAAGGCGCGCGGGCTGCTGCCGCCGCATCGGCTGGAACGATCGGCAGGGCGCGCACCAGAGGCCACCCTTGCCCAGGGGCCGCTCCTCGCGCGGAGCCGAAGGATCTTCGTCGTGCGCCTCTTCGGGCTCCTCGACGGGCTCCCCGTCGGGTGGCTGCGCGTGCTGCGTGCACCCACTTTTGGCCCTGGCTTTGGACGCCCGAGATGGGCACGGAAACAAGGGGTACAATGCCCAACAACAAATGCTGTCCCAAACCAACAGCGGCCGCTGTTGGGCAGGCGGCCTTCTGTCGCGAATGGACACAGGCCGCGGCGACACCGGCAGCGAGTCCTGTTCAGAGTGAACAGAATCTGCTGTTGGGCACTGTACCCATTCTTTCCGTACCCATCTCGGGCGTCCAAACTGGCGGGCAAGCGCACGGCGGCCTGCCAGCAAACGGCGTGGGCCATCGATCGGAGGGGGGGCGGCTGCAGCCGCGCGGCGCGGCGCAGGACGAGGAGAGGCGCCGGCGACCAGGGCGAGGGGGCAGGAGTGCCGAGCGACAGGGAGGCGACGAGCCAGGAGCGACGGGCCAGGAGCCCGGCGCGGGGGGGAGGGGCGGACTGGGGACGGGCGGACCGGACCCACCGACGGACGGAGGGGGGGCACTTTGCGCACAGAGTTGCTGTTTCGCTCAGCGGGCGCGCGCGCGCGCGGCGAGGCGCCGTGAGGCTCCCCGCGGCTGAGGGGCAGCTCAGGGAGAGAGAGAGAGAGAGAGAGAGAGAGAGAGAGAGAGAGAGAGAAAAAAAAAAAGAGGAGAGGAGAGGGAGAGAGCGAGGGAGGGAGAGAGGGAGAGGGGGAGGGAGGGAGAGGAGCGAGAGGGAGGGAGAGGGGGAGGAGAGAGGGGGGAGAGAGAGAGAGGAGAGACAGAGAGAGAGAGAGAGAGAGAGAGAAACAAACAACAAAAGACACCGCTTCGGATAGAGTCTGTCCAGAGGCCGCACTGGCTAGCGGGGCGCGAGCCTCATTAACCGTTGTGACCAGGGCGGGCGGTACGCGAGGGTCCTGCCGGCCCCCTCGGCGTGCGATCAGAGGACGGCACACGACGGACGGACGGGAAGGCGACCAGCCACTGAGCGAAGAAAGATACATATATGTATATACAGAGAGGGAGAGAGAGTGTATATATATAGAGAGAGAGAGAGAGAGAGAACATAGAGAGAGAGAGAGAGAGAGATAAGGAGAGAGCTGTGTATATCGAATATCATGTATATTCATGTGCTTATATGCATACATCTCTCTCTATATATATATGTATATGGGACTATGCAGATACACAGAAAAAAAACGGCCAGCAACAGCCGCACTCGGATCTCGCGGGGCATCGCGAGGGGCCAGCGGCGGCCTGGCTCGCCCGAGAAGGGAGCTGCCGCGCGCGGAAGGCCATGGCTCCTCTGGCGAGCTCGGGGAGCCGCGATCCTTCCAGCTAGCAGTTCGACTTCAAGGGAGTTGCGGGCCACGCCGTGCATCGAGCAACCGGAGGGGCAGCCGGCAGCAGATGGGCGGAGGGAGAGCGGAGACGAGTGAAGAGGTGGGAAGCGCGTGCGCACACAGCGCCTCCAGATCGCTCCCCGCGACCGCCCCCCTTGCCGAGGAGGGCCCTGCGGCATGACAGCCGGCAGAGGCCTGCCAGGATAGTGGCCGTGGCAGTCGCTGCGGCCGTGTGCCTGGCCGCCGCAGCAGCCACCGCAGGGTTCGTGCCCGGCGTCATGCGCAGTCGCGGCCTCGGCTGCTCTCTGGGGGCGCCTGGGGCGTAGACGGCCTCAGAGCAGAATCGACGGAGAGGCTGGTTCACTGATCGTGTCCCCAGCTGAGAACGGTGCTCCTCTTCCCCAGCCCCTCACGGGGGAGGGCGGGTGAGGCAGGGGAGAAGATTGGAAGAGGCCCCTCGCAGTGATTGGATGGCTTACTTCGCACCGCCGACCCGTTCGGGGGGGTCTGGATGCCGTTACTCTAGGGTGCGCTGTCGTAGAGGCTTCTTGGTGGTCACCACCAAGAAGCCTCTACGACATGATGCTGTGCGACCACGCCAGGAACTCACAAGCATGCTCAATATGAGACCCGTTGAGAGATGCCTTTGTGGAGGCATTGGTTGGGCCTCTGGGGATGCCTTGCAAGGGAGTCTTGGAGTCTTGGAGGCATTTGGGAGGCCTCCTGGGGCTGTGGTCTTGGGGTGGAGGTTATCTTCCTCAGTGCCCTGGAACACGCACTTTTGCAGCAGTGTGCTTACCACCGCTCTGGCGTTTATCATCCTCACCTCAAGCATTGCTTTGCTGGCCCAACCCCGTCATTGCAGTCCGCGGCCGGCTCTGCGAAGCAGTCTTGTGCCGGCGTCGCGCCTGCGAGCGCACGACTTTGGAGACTCGAGCTGCAGCCGCCCGCTTGGTCCTTCTCCCGCCTCTCTTCTCCCTCCTCGCCCCTTCTTTCCCTCGTGCCCCACCTCGTTCTCCTCTTGCTGGTTCTCCTCGCGCCCCTCCCCCTCTGGCTCCACGTCGTCGTCGTCGTCGTCGTCGTCGTCGCCGTCGTCGTCGTCGTCGTCGTCGTCGTCGTCGTCGTCGTCGTCGTCGTGGTGGTCGTCGTCGTCGTCGTCGTCGTCGTCGTCGTCGTCGGGTCGAGTCGGGTCGGGCCGGGGCACGGCAGCCGCACGCCCGCCCAGGCTGCGAGCCGGGGCCGCGCCGGCACCCGCAGGGCCCGCTCGCGGGAGGGCCCAGCACGCCGCCGGGGCAGCCGGGCCAGCCAACCGCGCAGGAAGTTGGGAGGGGGCGTGGGTCAGAGGAGGAAGATGGTACCGATCGAAGAAGAACAACCAATAAGCATAAACTTTGGGCGCTCCGCGCGGATTTCTTGGATCCGCGCCTGGGCCCCCCCTGGCGGCGCCTCCGGCGCCGCCCCTGGCGCGCGGAGCGCGCCAGGGAGGGGGTCCAGCGCGAACCCAAGAAATCCGCGCGGAGCGCCAAAAGTTTTGTTTTTTTACGTTTTTTTCATTTTTATTTTTTCTAACCGATGCAGCTGTTCTTCCCTCGTCGCCACGGCCGGATTCGCCTCGGCATCCTGGTGAGGTCTGCGGAGTGGCGGCGTCCGTACCTCTTGGTGTTCGCGCGGTGGGCGCGCGTCGCCGCCTCGCCACCGGGCCGTGCGCTGAGGGGTGCGGTCTGGTCTGCGCGCAGCGGGCGCCCGCCGCTTTTGTCTGCTATGCTCAGGAGGGGAAAAAACACACAGGCACAATTAATCGTCGATTCCCCAGAAAATATGGGGAAATATGGGAATTGGGCGGGAAGACAACAGAACATATAGGAAAATATGGGGAACCTTTTATTTGTGTGTATTTATTTGTGTGTCCCAGGGCCCCTTCAGCGTAGGAGTGAAGTGAGCTTTCGCCAGAGAGGCCATCGGGGTCGGGCACGCTACGGCCCGAAGATGGCCGAATGCGATGCGGGAGCAGCGGCTTGCGCGCTCCGTTGTGGCCTCCCCGCGGCCCCCAGAAGTCGCGCACCAAAGGTCACTCTTGCAAAAGGTCACTCTGACGTGTAGCCGACTTTTGCAGCCCATCATTCCCCAAACAGTGCTTACACCTAGGGGTTCTTAATTACTTATGGTCTAAGTCACTGGGCCTGGCGGCTGGTTTGGCGACTATGTCTTCGCCGTCACCGCCCCGTCGCCGCCTCGTCGCCGCCCGTCGTCTGGGCCTGTCTGGCGGTCTCGCGGCTATATCGTCGCCGTCGCCGCCCCGTCGCCGCCTCGTCGCCGCCCGCTTTGCATTGCTTCGCTTGGCATTGCTTTGCTTTGCTTTGGCTTGTGTTGATTTGCCTTTCTTGGCATTGCTTGGCGTTGCTTGCCATTGCTTGCCATTGCTTTGTATTGGTTTGCAAGTCTTTGCATTTCTCTGCATTTCTCTTCATTCCTTTGCATTGCTTCGCGTTACTTTGCTTTGCGACGCATGTCTTACACCACGTAGCTCACACCATGAATGTTGCACCACATGAAATGCACCACAGTAGATTGCACAACATAGCTTGCATCCTATACATTGCACCACATAGCTCACACCACATGGCTCACACCACATACAGACTGCACTGCATAGACTGCACCACTACAGCTGGCACCACATGCGTTGCACTGCGTACATTGCACCACTTACATTGCACCAGACAGCTTCGACCACACAGATCGCACCATATGGTTTGCACCACATACGTTGCACTACTCCATCGATTTTGCTGTCTAAACAAGAATCCGGATCTGCCCCGATCCCCCCGGGGTTAACGCATCACCTTTTCGTATTGCAATTTACATACGCTGCTGCCCCATCGTCCATCCTAAGTCTGAATTATATAGTCCCAGCGCAACCGGTATCGCCCACTCCCCCTTCATCCTCTGCCAGAAGTTCTCTGCGCGCGAACTCGTTTATCACAAATCATCAGTTTCCATCAACCCCTTGCAACGAATGGGACGAAGTGCACATGCGCGCGTCGTCGCGCGCGCATGCCGAAATCTTTTTTATGAAAGCTTCGATTTCGCTGGGATTGCAAAACCGAGTGTCCAGAACACATACAAAACACATGGTCTCGCAACACGGATTTTCAAACAAAGCTTGCGCGCGCGTCCTGGCGAATTCTTTGTTAAAAAGCAATAGTTTTCAACATTCCACAAAATGCTACCACACGGTCTTCGCGCGTGCACGTCGAAAACGTCTGAACGCCCTCGCAATATTCTTTTGCAACACATGGGACGCACACGCGTGCATCGTCGCGCGCGCATGCCGAAATCGTTCAAAACCGTAGGTTTCGCAAGGCTTTCAAAACACAGTGTCCCGAACCCATATAAAAAATGGTTTCGCAACAACAGGTTTCAAAGAAGCCTGCGCTCGCGCTCTTGTGAACACTTGAGAAGCCATCGTTTTTTTGTTTTTTTTTTTTTTTTTTTTTTATATTTCATGGAATTCTGCCAGGCGGGCCCTTCGCGCCGCATGTCGAAATCACTCGAACGCCTTTGCGCGCGCGTTCTTGTCAAATAATTTCATGCGGGCCACTCTCGCGCGTCAGCCGCGCGCGCATGTCCAACTCCTTCCAAAACCTTCATCACCGACGCGAGGACGCCGTCATCGTCGTCGGCGTGATCAGCATCGGCGCCGTCACTGGCCTATCCGTCGTCGTTGTCAACCTCGTCACTATCATCGCTACTACCATCATCGTATCTACTGTTGACGACGTTCCGATGATACCGCGCCCGCCCAAATCGCCGACTTGCACTGAAGTGCCCGCTGGGATGTGCCCAGCGGTCAGCGCCACCGCGGCCGCGTCGGTCGCGCCAAACTAAGTGGCCGCCGCGCGCAACTGCAAGCGCGGGCTGGCGCGGCCGCAGATATGCACCAGCCAACACCAAGTACATATGGCAGTCGCCGCCGCTCGTGTTGTGCAAGTCAAGTTGTGGGTGGGCGGGTGGGGTGATTGCGCGAGAAGTTGAGTTGACAACTGCGAGTTTCACAAGTGAATCACACCACAGAGATGGCACCACACAGTTTGCACCACACAGCGCACACCACATTGAGAACTGCGTGAACATTTACCACATGTGTTGCATCACCTCGTATGCTGGCACACGCTGTTTGACGCCCCGCGATGGCTAACATCTTTTCCAAACAAGAGTCAGACTTTACTTCTTCTCCCCCGGCACTTAACCTCCGCATGCTACGTTCTTATATTTACTCAATAGGTTTACGGCATTCCGCCGACCCCCAAAACAGCGAATTCGTCAAGAGTCGTGCCACCATACCTGGGCCGTGGGTCAAGAGCCCCGGGGGTGCAGATGAAGTTCATCTGGAATGCTTTTCAGGGGCCTCTTGGAGGGCTCTTGGGGCATCTGCTTAACGTTTGACGGCCTCTCGGGGGCCTTTTAGGGGCCTCGTGGGTGTTTTTTCCCCACATCCTAAGTGGGGTTCTTGTTTTCTCTGCACACCCTCCGCGCAGGATCTCTCGTCCTCCTCCCTCTCCTCTGCTCCTCATTGCTTCCTCCTCCGCATCATCATCACCATCACCATCACTCCCCACTCATCATCATCATCACCATCAGCATCACCATCACCATCGCTCGATCACTCACCATCATCGGCATCGAACGATCATCATCATCATCATCATCATCATCATCATCATCATCATCATCATCACTACTCGCTGACTCACCACTTCGTCCCCATCATCATCACCACCATTTGCCATCAGAATTGCACGATCACTCACCATCAGCACTCATCATCACCACCATCCACATCATCACGTCGCCATCATCACCACCACAACCATCATCATCATCATCATCATCATCATCATCATCATCATCATCACCATCATCATCATCAAACATATATCATCATCAAACACCGTCGTCATCATCCCATCACCATCATCCACCAAGAGGGAGCCTCGTCTGTGAGTGAATCTCAGGCGGGAGCCCCCTCCCTATGGGGCCCGTAATCCGAGCGGGTCATCGGATTCCTGTAACTGTCGTCACTTTTGGGCTCCTCAGGTCTGAATTTGGAAGAAGTATCAAGCGGGACCCTCGTCTGTGAGTGAATTGTGAGGACGCGTCAGGCGGGAGCCCCCTCCCTATGGGGCCCGCAGATCATGTTATTAATCCGAGCGGGTCATCGGATTCCTGTAGCTGTCGTCACTTTTGGGCTCCTCAGGTCTGAATTTGGAGGAAGTATCAGGCGGGAGCCTCGTTTGTCAGTGAATTGCGAGCAAGTCTGAGGCGGGAGCCCCCTCCTCATGGGGCCCGCAGATCATGTTATTAATCCGAGCGGGTCATCGGATTCCTGTATCTGTTGTCACTTTTGGGTTCCTCAGGTCTGAATTTGGAAGAAGTATCAAGCGGGACCCTCGTCTGTGAGTGAATTGTGAGGACGCGTCAGGCGGGAGCCCCCTCCCTATGGGGCCCGCAGATCATGTTATTAATCCGAGCGGGTCATCGGATTCCTGTAACTGTCGTCATTTTTTGGCTCCTCAGGTCTGAACTTGGAGGAAGTATCAAGCGGGAGCCTCGTCTGTGAGTGAATTCTGAGGAAGTCTCAGGCGGGAGCCCCCTCCCAATGGGGCCCGCAGTTCATATTTGAATCTGAGCGGGTCATCCTCAAACCTGTAACTGTCGTCACTTTTGGGCTCCTGAGGCTTGAATATGGAGGAATATCAAGCGGGAGCTTCGTCTGTGAGTGAATTGCGAGGAAGTGTCAGGCAGCCCAACGGAACCACCGAGGGGATTTGAGAGCCTTTTTGTGGGGATGTCTCAGGCGGTTTGCATGTTTCCGGGCTCAACATCCTTCGCTTGGACAGCAGATTGTGAGGATGTCTCAGGCGGGGCGCTGGTTTCAGCACCCCTAAGGGGAGCCGCCAGGGGTGGTTGCACGGGCTCGTTCGCGGCAATTTTGTGGGGATGTCTCAGGCGGTTTGCTTGTTTCTGGGCTCAACATCCTTCGCTTGGAGAGCAGATTGTGACGATGTCTCAAGCGGGGCGCTGGTTGCAACACCCCTATGGGGAGCCGCCAGGGGTGGTTGCACGGGCACGTTCGCGGCCATATTGTGGGGATGTCTCAGGCGGTTCGCCTGTTTCTGGGCTCAACAGGGAGGGAACTGACAGGAACGAGGATGAGGAGGAGGAACAGGAGGAGGAGGAGGAGGCGGGGGATCGTGAGGAAGGGCAGGGGGGTGCGGAGGGGGAGGGGGAGCAGGAGGATGAGGAGGAGGAGCAGGAGCAGGAGAAGGGAGGGGGCGGAGGAACAGGAGGAGGAGGAGGAGAAGGAGGAGGAGGAGGAGGAGGAGGAGGAGGAGGAGGGCGCTTTGCTCGAAGGTCCTTGACGCGAGCAGAACGTTTGTTCCGAAGTCCAGGACATATATATATATATATATATATATATATATATACACATATATACACACACACTGCTGCCTCCCGCCTGAGCGCCGCCTGAGCGCCGCGGCGCGCGCCTGGAGGCCCGCGGGGTTGTCCCAACGGCTAGCTCCCACGCCCCAGCGGCCTGCGAGGTTGTCTCAACGGCCCAGCCCGAAGGTTTGCCCCGACGGCTTCGCGATCTAGCCGTCGGCAGACGCGCGCGCGCTGGCCGAGGCGGCGACGGCGCTGAGGAAAATGGATTTGCTTGCCCCGACGAGGGGGAAGGGGAGGTGCACATGGAGAAAAGGCAGGGGGATGAGGAGGGAAGGGGCATGGGGGAGGCCGACGACGAGGAGGAGGTGGCGCGAGAGGAGGAGGAGGAGGAGGAGGAGGAGGAGGAGGAGGAGGAGGAGGAGGAGGAGGAGGAGGAGGAGGAGGAGGAGGAGGAGGAGGAGGAGGAGGAGGAGGGAGGAGGAGGAGGAGGAGGAGGTAGGAGGAGGAGGAGGAGGAGGAGGAGGGAGGAGGAGGAGGAGGAGGAGGAGGAGGAGGAGGAGGAGGAGGAGGAGGAGGAGAGGAGGAGGAGGAGGAGGAGGAGGAGGAGGAGGAGGAGGAGGAGGAGGAGGAGGAGGAGGAGGAGGAGGAGGAGGAAGGAGGGAGGAGGAGGAGGAGGAGGAGGAGGAGGAGGAGGAGGAGGAGGAGGAGGAGAGGAGAGGAGGAGGAGGAGGAGGAGGAGGAGGAGGAGGAGGAGGAGAGGGAGGAGGAGAAGAAATGCAGGGGGCGAGAGGAGAGGGCAGTGCAGGGGGCGAGAGGAGAGGGTGTCCGCCAGGGGGAGGAGGAAAGGGCAAAGGGTAATCTAAACAGATTCTCGTGTGGGGTCCTACCGTCGGAGTAATTGGAAGCCTCTTGGGGTCTCTGGGGGGCGCCTCGGGGTCACCGGGGGGCTCTTGGGGCCATCGCGGCGGGAAAAATTCGAGATGTCAGCTCGTATTGCCCGTATTGGGCCCTCTTGGGGCCTCCTGGGCCGTCTCAGAGGCCCCCTGGGCCGTTTTGGGGCCATCTTGGCCCCCTTGGGGCTCCATTGGGCCGTCTTGGGGCCTTCTTGGGGGCCTCATGGTCCGTTTTGGGACGATCTTGTGGGCTCCGTGGGCCGTAGTGGACGCAGTCAAGACGAAACATGCGTATATCTCGAACGTACACCTTTTCCAACAGGAATGGATAGATTTCTGCTTCTTGGGGCCCTCTCGGCGGCCCTCTGGAAGCACGGTTGGCCGCCTGAGGGGCCTGGTAGGCCGTCTCCACGCTCTTTTGGATGGTGTCGGCGCTCATTGGGCAGTCTGGCGGCTCTTCGCAGGCTCGGGAGAGCCCCTGGGGAGCTCGCGCCTCCCCCCTCTTTAATGCGATTTTGGGCCACAAGAGAGGGGAGAAGGGAAGGGGGGACAGCCAATCATCTCTCGCGCCAACTCACCCCCTGCAGGCGGGGGTCGGCGGATGCTTCGCCAGCCTTCCTGAAACATGCCAGCCAGCCCGTTGCTGACCCCCTCCCGCCGTTTCTGGCTATCAGAGAACATGCGGTGCACATGCGTTGATCTACAGTGGAGACCCATGCCAAGAAACACCCTGCTTGCCTCCAGGGTGCCCTGCGTTTCTTGGGTTTCGATGGCTTTGCGGTGGAAAGCGCGGCGCTCCCACACCAAAATCAATGGACGCCCTGGGATCTCAGGGTTGGGTTTCTTTTGGAAGGTTTTTTTTGTGGACTGGTCTCCACTGTACGACTTGCGTTATGAAACAAGCCCTCTGGCACTATACCATGTAGATAATCGATGTGCGCGAGCCCCCGCGCGCGCATGCCAGAGTCGGTGAAGCCGTTCCTAGCATGCTTGAGGCAGCCGTTCAGGCGATCGCTTTCTTATTCATCGTTTCGCCGATGGGCGCGGGCCCTCGCACTCCCCCCCCCCATGGAGTAGATCTTGGCTGGTTTGGGCGCCTGCTTCGAGCAGGTGGGGTCTCCCCCATGATGGACGCCCTGCTGCAAACGGTCGCACTACGCAGAGGTCCAGAGCCAGACCGCCCCCCCCTCTCCCCCCTTCGGCCCAATGTTGAAACGCAGAATAAGACCACGCCCACCAGAAACTATTGAAGCCGTCGCTTGGCAGCACAAGGTCGCCGGATTGCTGCGCGTGCGCGCACTCGCTGAAGTCGTATGCGAAAGCCATTGGTGTTTGGCAGTTCTCTCAAGCAATGCGGGTCACGCGCCCTCGCCTCCGCGCGCGCACGCCGAACTCTTTCAAAACCATGGGTGTTTCAAGCGGTACCGCACGGAGGTGTTGAAACACATAGGTATGCCACATTGTTTTGCAAGGCGCGGTGTAGCAGGACGTCCGAATGTCTGTGCGCGCACGTTCTCGGCATCCTCATAGGCACCATCGTTGCCATCATCGTTAGCGTAATCTTTCCCATCGCCTGAATCATCCGAAGCATCATCATCATCACCACCGTCACATCATTGTCGTCGTCACCACCACCACCACCACCATCATCATCATCATCATCATCATCATCATCATCATCATCATCATCATCATCATCATCATCATCATCATCATCGGCAGCCTCATCATCATCATCATCATCATCATCATCATCATCATCATCATCATCATCATCATCATCATCGGTCGCCCTCGTCATCATCGCCACCGCTATCACCATCATCAAGATAGTCGTCGTCATCGATGTGATCGTCATCATCTTCATCACTTGTCAGCTCGAGTCATGGAACTGCATGAGCAGGGTCCGTGCGTCCCTGTGACACTTGTTATTCGCGAGCAAGTTCCGACGGATCAGTTCACGCACGATCCGTATGAGTGTTGCCAGAAGGATGCGGGTGGAAGGGTGGGATGGATGCATGAGCGGTGGAGTTGACGGTTTCAAGTTCTCCATGAACTTCAAGATCATATGCACTCACTGCAGTGCACCACATAGCTTGCACCACATGTGCATGACTACATAGCATTACGCCGTACAAGTTGCATGATACAGGTTTCACCGTACACATCGTGCACTGCAACTACTGCTCATCGAGAATGCAAGACCCCACAATTTCGGTTCCAAGCTGGCAGATCTGGTTCCCATGGTGCTTTCGAGAGTTTGTGATCGGAGTGCCAAGGTGCGATCGGGAAACGAGCTCGAACCTCTTCGAATAACGACTTCTGGGGGTGTGGGGTCACATGGCCTTTTCACGTCAGGGCCTCGCCCCGAGTCCTCTCGGCGCAGGGGGTCAGCCGTCCCGAAGGGCGGAAGGAAAGGAGGGAGGCGTAAGGAGGTGAGCGATGCAGGGTGATGACAGAGGAGGAGGAAGAGGTGGAGGAGGAGGGAGGGGGATCCCCTCCGAGGAAGCGCTCCTGGCCCATCTCAGACTGGCCGCGGCCGCATGTGCTGGGCTCCTGATCTGCCTGTCGGCGGCGCTGCCTGTTGTCGCCGAGACGGTCGGCAAAGGGGAGGCCACGGGCTTCGCAGAGTTTGCAAAGAAGGCCCGGGCAAGTGCAGCATAGGAGGCAGGGAGAGGGAGGGGATGCGGGAGGAAGGGAGGGAGGTGGCATATATATATATATATATATATATATATATATATATATATATATATATACATCCACATATTTATGTATATATATATATATATGCTTACACAAGATTGAATGGCTCGCTGCGCTTCGTCTTCTAATCTTGGTCCTTGCATCTGGAAGGGCCAACGAAAACGGGAGACGGGGGGGACCTGAATTGTCGCCGCCCGTTTTTGTTCAGAATTGGCTTCTCAGGTGGCCTCGAGAGGCCTCCCAGAGTCTCGTAAAGAGCCCTCCGAGGGCCCCAACAAGGCTCCAAGAGAGCTGCAAGAGGGCCCCAATATTGCCCCAAAAGGATCCGAAGGGAGGCCCAAGATGGCTCCCAGAGGTGTCTGAGAACGTCTCACAACAAGAACTGAATTCGCCTGGGCGTCGTTCCTGGATGGGCTGGCTGGTAGGGATAAGCGACGCGTCGAGACTTGCAATGAGGAGTGAAGAGAAACGGGCTGGGCCACTTCGCGCGCTGCTCCTCGGGACTCCGAAATGCGAGGATTTTGAAACGGTGCCGCCCAGGCCCATCGCAGCAGGGCCTTCGGCCCCTGGCCCGTTTTTTTCTCGTGCTTGTGATTGAGTGTGGCGTGAGACTGGCGTGCTGTTGCAAATTTCGGCGTGCGCCGTCGTGATTTGTGTTTTAGGCAGATTTGTTTTACGTCTTCGTTCGTACAGGGAGCCCTGGGGTGTCGTGGGGAGTCTACGGAAGCATCTTGTAAGCAGTTTGTGCCTTCTTGCGATTTGCTTTGTGACCTCTTGGGGGCCTCCTTGGGGGCATCCAAGGGGGTCTCTTGGAGGCCTTGTAGGGCCGCTTGAGGGGTTCCAATGGTGGCCCAGATCCGTCCTGTATGTTACTTGTAAGTATGTTTGTTTCCGCGACCGTTCGTCATCGCCGTTTCCTGGCGGGTGGTGCCGTGAGGTATCGACAGTTTCTCTGGGGTCGTTTTGTCCCGGGTTGATTTTTGGCGGTCCCAGGGCCCCCTGAGGGCCCCTCACGAGGGTATTCGGGTGCTCTGGAGGGTCTGGGGGCTCGGTATTGAGGAAATCATTACATCGCACGCGTGAGAAACCACACTGGCGGATGTCTGCCATGGATGCAGGAAGAAAGGAGAAAGGAAGGGGGAGTTCAAGAACAGGGCCACTTTTGACGACGATGTGAAAGCAACAGGGAATCATTGCAATATACATCGTGATGGCCACCACATTTGAAGAGCGCTGGCGGCCGCCATTGACCCATGCGCGTCCACAGTTTTCCCGGGCTCATTTTGTCGTCCTCGGTTGATTGTTGGCGGTCCCATGGCCCCCTGAGGGCCCCTGGAGCTCACGGGGGCAGTCGGGTGCTCTGGGAGGTCGGGGAGCCCGGCATTGTGGAAATGACTACATCGCATGTCTGAGAAACCGCACTGACGGATGTCTGCCATAGATTCATGGAAGGAGAGGAAAGGGAGAGAGCGCGAAGAGGACCACTTTTGACGACGATGTGAAAGCAACGGGAAATCGACTTCCAGGGGCCCCGTATTTGAAAAATACCACATCGCATGTGTGGGAAGCCGCACGGACTGAACTCTGCCAGGGATGCACGGAAGGAGAAGACAGGGGGATGGCGATACGAGGACCATTTTTGAGGACGATGCGTGAGCAACGGGAGGTGGACGTAACGCGCGTCGCGATGGCCACTACATCTGAGCAGCGCTGTCAGCCGCCGACGAAATGCCGCAGACCTGCGTGGCACAGCTGCGGCGATATTGTTCATCGGCGCGACAAGAGGACACGCAGCCCATGCACTATTCTGGATGGGCCAGTGGGCTGGTACGTCGTGGCCTGCGGCCTATCCCACCACCGTGCCTGGGTTGTGCGTTAAAGCGTCTTACGTGCTCATTGGGATTGCGCGATACGCCTCTTCAAGGCTGCGTTAGGGCCTCTTGGGGTCGTTTGGGGGGCCTCTTGGGAGCCTCCTGCGGCCTCCTTGGGGTCTCTTGGGGGCCGCTGGAGGCCTCTTGGTGCCTTCTTGGCGCCTCCTGGGGCCCTGTCGGCGCGGTAAGCTAGATGCTTGAATTGTTGGTCGCCTCGTTGAGCCCTTTTTGGGGGCCTTCTCGGAGCCGTCTGGGGCTCTGTTGGGCGCCTCGTGGGCCGTCTCGGGGCCGTCTGGGGGGCCTTTGGGGCTGTGTTGGGGCGCTCTCGGGGGCTTCATGGGCGTCGTGGAGCGTCGGAAAGCCGAAAAGGCGAGAAGGCAACACAACATCGTAAAACACAGTGGAACATCAACGAGTGTCGCTTCTCGGGGCCCTGGAGGGAGGGTTCTCGCGGACCTCTTCGCCCTGTCGATGGCGTTATGGGAAGGTGATCGACTTTTTGGGCAGCGGCAAATTCGGTCTGAAGTCGTCGCGACGCTTCCACGGGTGCTTTGGAGCCGCCGCGAGGTTGCCATGGGTGCCTTCTGAGGGCTTTGTGGGGCTTTCTGGGAGGCGGCGGTGCTCATTGTACGGGGGGGATGGGGGGGGGGCGGCGACCATTTTTTGTTTGTTTTCCCCCCGTGTCTATATATATATATATATATATATATATGTATACATACATTTATATAATTATGTATGTATCTATGTATGCATACATGCATGTATGCATGCATGCATGCATGCATGTATGTATGTATGTATGTATGTATGCATGCATGCATGTATGTATATATGTATGTATGTATGTATGTATGTATGTATGTATGTATGTATGTATGCATGTATGTATGTATGTATGTATGCATATACACAGTTGTGTGGATCTTTATCTATGTATACATACATATGTATGTGTGTGCGCGGGGCTGTGGGTGTGGGGTGGGTGGGTGGGTGGGTGGGTGGGCAGCAAACGGCATTGGCTGACACATCGGGTTTCAGTCATCAGCTCCAAGCGCTACCACCTTTTTGCGTTTTTTGTTACCGCTGGAGCCTATCAGCCTTCCCTTCTCATACCTCCTGATCCTCGCCCCACGGTTTTCTCGAAGCTTCCGTATATGTCGGCCGAGGCACATCTAAGCCACGGCCGTTGTAACATGCACCGCCCCTCACGGCTACATGTGGTGTGCAATAGCCATCCTCTGCAGCACGCAAGGCCACGAACCTACATTGGTGCATCACTGTCTGTACAGTTCACGCCCAGCCAGCGGACCAGTGCAGATCACCAAATGGGCCTTACAGCCTGCAGCACGTTCGACAGTGCTGATGATACAATGATGTACGCTGCGACTGAAAGGCGCATGCCCTTCTGTGGGCCGTCGCCCTGTGCATCGCGCTGTCCACCAATTCAACCACACATCAAGCGCAACCATACCGCATCACAGCTATCCACGTTTACCACCTCTCGTTTGCCCTCTGCTGTGAGAGTGATTTCTACCGCCCTCCTTCAACTCGCTCCGGCACCTACGATCGCCCAGCTGTTCCCGTCACCGTTGCTTGCACGTGTATTCCGTTCACCTCAGGCGGGGTTGGGTATGGATCAACGGGTGGATTTGGGTCCCAGGGTCCCACTCCTATCTCTGGTCATGCGCTGCAGAGTTCACAGAGCGAATTAGAGCTACATCGACCTTTGCAACCAAGACGCAGGCGGGAGCCATTCGGACGCAATCGGGGCCATGCCGGTCCAGGCAACACAGTTGCTCCGTGTAACCACACCAGCCCATCCAGAAACGATAGCCATGAGAGCTGCTTGAATGAGGAGGTTGAAGGGGCGAGGGAGGATATTGGCAGTTCCATATTCCTGCCATGTCGCGCAGTCGCCATAGTTGAACGTGTCTATCTTGGATGGGGGGCCTGCTGGTTTGGGGGAGAGTGTCCGCTGGTTTGTCCTGAACCCCTTTCGCCAGATGGGAGTGGGTCACCGTTCCCGTTGTTATGACCACCCGGAAGGGTGGCGCCATGGAAGCGAACCCTGCTTGTTTCGTGACCGACTGCGGGAAGGAGACGAAGGAGTGCTTCGTCGAGAGCGGCCGCTGCCTAAAGGGCGCCCTTTGCCTCGCAAGGCTCGGATGCTCTGGGGGATCGGAGGCAGGCCAGGTCAAGGGGTGAGGGCTCGGGACCGACGTATCAACCGCCCACATCTTGCCAGAAGTGCGGGGGGAAGATTCCGAGTGGTTCGCCAGCCCTTGCCCCCGAGCTGGCCTGCCTCCTCGTCTTCACGTGAGCCGGAAGTCCAGGGATAGCTAGCGGGGATGCGGGGCACGGCAGGAGGAGGCAGGTGCTTCCCTGCCCCCCCCACCGTGCCCCTTGCAAAAGAACCTGGCGCGACCCCAGCCCTTGAGATCGTCTGTTTTGTGATAGCGTAGCACAGCAACTCACAGCAATGCACCGCGCCGCCCTACCTCAGAATGCCATGAAGTTGGTTTAGCAGAGCAGCGCCTGGCAGAGCCATGGCACACCAAGTCACCCGCGTTGCATGGCATGAAACACCCACGCGTAGGACGGCACAGCACATCGCAATAACGCCATTGCGCAGTACGCCATTGCCCGAAGGGCTGCGCCCTCTGCCGCTGGCCCCCAAGGCCGAGCCCTATTGTGGCCATGTCTTAGCAGCTTTGGGGCCATCGTGGGGCCTTTCGGGGGGCATCTTGGGGTCATGGTCGGGCAACAGTAAGCCGTCTTGGGCCCCCTTTTCCTCCACTTCTGCCCGTTTCCCCCCCCCACCCATGTGGCTGGTGCTTTTTTCCTCTGGCATGGCCCAGGGTTGAAGCAGCCGACGCGCGCGTGATAGCTGCTCTCTCTCTCTTCCCCTTCGGTTTCCTTGATCTCTCTTCCTTCTCCTTCCTGGCCTGTGCTCAGCATTTTGGAGCCCCCTTTCCAGCAGTGGGGAAGCTGACAATTTTCATCCTCAGCGCACCTGTGCTTGAGGAAGAACAAAATCGGGTAGCCTTGGGGCCCTCTCGAGGCCTGGCGGCCTGGCCCCTCTCGAGGGCACCCTGGGGCCGTGCTGGGCCATCCCACCTGGGCGGCCTGCGCCGCCTCGGCCAGCCTCGTGGGCTCGGAGGGCCGCCTCGAATCGGAGGGCACCAACTATACACCAACACCGATCCTGGCCCAGGATCACCCTGGGCCCAGGATCGGTGTATATGCCTTCTTGCGCAAGGCAGGAGGGCGTATACACCGATCCTGGGCCCAGGGTTATCCTGGCCAGGATCGGTGTTGGTGTATAGTTGGTGGCTTCCTATCGAAGCGATCGTCGAACAGCTCGGGAGCAGAACGCGGGGCACGGAGACGCATTGAAAACCCTGCAGTCGGGGCCCTGAAGAAGGGAACCCCTTTTCGTTGGGGAGGGGCTCCGCGTTCCTTAGTTGCTTTGCAGTGCTCCTTGGGTTTTCCTGAGGTTTTCCGTGGAAAATCGGAGTTTCCTATCTGGGAGAAAGGGGCCTCGTTCCTTATTTATCGTTCCTTAGGTCAACGCCCCGACGGTATGACGTTTCAATGCTCGTTGCCCCCTCGGGGCGTCTCGGGGCCCTCCTGGGCCGTCCTATGGCCGGCTTCGGCCGTCTTTGGCTCTAGGAGGCCTTCTTCGGAGCCTCGTGGGCCGTGTTCAGTGCCGCTTGGGTCCTCCTGGCCGCGCGGTGGCGTCCAGTGGGAATCCTTGGGCAGCCTGGGGCGGCCAGGAATTCGAGCCGCACCCCGGCTATTCTTGTTGTGCTGCCAGGCCCCCGTAGAAGACAGGTGGATGGAGCTAGGACTGGAGAGACAAGAGGCGATACACAAAAGGCAGCACTCAGAGCACACGATGGGGGTCTAGCAGAAGACCCCGCAGCCGTGCCCCAAAGAGGAGGGCTCGCGGAAAATGACAGCCCACCGGTTAAGGAATGTGCCCAGGAGGCTCCAGACCCTGGAGGCTTCCTTATCTAAATGGGGCGGCGGCGACATCCATTGCCAATCCACGATTGGAGTTGTACTGGCTTCCAGACCCTCGATTCATTGATTGTCCAATGGTTCCCTGTCCAACGCTCTCACCGTACGTCGCCGTATCACGAGCTTCCTCCTGAAGTGAAAAGTTCTAGTGTCACTGAAGGGTACAGGTGGGGAAATCCCTGGAACAAGTGCTTCGCACGTGGGATCATTGGCTGGGATCTGGGACATGGATCATTCGGTTGTACGTGAAAAACCAATGGGGTAACTTCCGTCCCGGATCTATCTTCTAGTAGTATTAAGCACCGTGATCCCAAGGGCCCACATTCCAGACGCCTCGCGCAACCCCACCAGCTCATCTGGAAACGATGCTCAGGCGAGTTGCTCTAAGCAGGCGTGTGGGGTGGGAGCGCGCAGTGGAATAAAGGCGGGGAAGTCGTCATGCCCATGAGGGGGAGGATGGAGGAGGAACCAAACGAGGAGGAGGAGGAGGAGGAGGAGGAGGAGGAGGAGGGGGACCAGTGCAAACCCAAGACTAGCAACGATGTTGGAATATTCCCTCCCTCCAAGCTTCCTCATCACTGGCCCCTATAAGGGTTCATGTCCACTGCGGGAACTGCCCCGTTGGGAGACAACCGTTTGAAGATCCTGAAACGCGCCAAAACACCGTTCTCGGGACCCCAACGCCGCGAACCAACGTAATTGTTGCTCCTTGACAATCTCGAATCGCTCCAGAGCGCCATTTCCGGTATGTTAGCCGTGGGAATGCGGAACAACTTCTGCCAACTTTTAAGACGAATGTGCGCGGCGCGAGGGCGAGAGCCACATTTTGAAGAGGAGCCGCCTCCATCGTTGAAACCGTTGCCATTGTTTCAGATGGATGCACGCGCCGCTAAGGCGAGAGCCACATTTTGAAAACGACTCGTCTTGAATCCTTGAAACTGATGCACGCTTTAGAACGAATGTGCGCGGTGCTGAAGCAGGAGCCGCAGTTTGAAAACGACCCGTCCTCAATCCGTGACGCTCTTGCAAGCTTTTCGGACGATTGTACGCGGCGCTGACGCGAGAGCCACATCTTGGAAGTGGCGCGCCCTCTATCTGGGAAGCTGTTGCTATTTTTCAAGCTTCAGGATAATAGATGGTGGGGAAGTCTCAGGCGAAACGCCCAGTCCGCCCATTCGACCAGCCTAGGTGTGCGGCAGGGATGGATTAGGTTTAAGGAAAAAGGAATGGAGGAGGAGGAAGAGGAGGATGAGGAGGAGGACCAATGCAAAATTACAACTCATCTGCGATTTTGGAAAAACGCTTCCCTCCACTTTAAGGAGGAAAGTGCCTCATTGGAAGACAACCAATTTAAAATCTTGAACTGTGCTAGAGAACCATTCCTGGGACTTCAACGCCGCGAGTCACCGATATTGTTGCGTCTTGACGGTCCTGAATCGTGCCAGAACACCACTTCTTGGATTTCAACACCACGAATCAACGGAACTGTCGCGCCTAGACAATCCGACATTTTACCAAAACGCCACTGGTGGGATATGAACCATGAGAACATTTGAAACTGTTGTCAAACATTTTGCACGGATGTGCGCTGCGCTACGGCGAGAGCCACATTGCCACATTTTGAAAATGAGCCCGCCTTCCATCGTTGAAACTGTTGCGAATTTGTATGACGAGTATGCGCGGCGTTGGAAGTGGTAGCCACATTTTGAAAATGACCCGTCCTCCATCTTATAATTATCGCAAGCTTTTCGGACGAATGTGCGCGGCGCTGAAGCGAGAGCCACATTTTGAAAACCCCTCCATCTGTGAAGCCGCTGCAAATCTCAAACTTCAGGATCATAGATGGTGAGGAAGTCTCAAGCGAAACGTCCGGACCGCCCTTTCGACTGGCCTCGGGGTGCGACAAGGATTTCTTTTAGGAAAAGGAATGGACGAGGAGGAGGAGGAGGAGGAAGAGGAGGAGGAGGAGGAACAGGCGGAGGGGGGGGAGGAAAAGGGGAGGAGGGAGGAGAGAGAAGGAGGATTAGGCGGATGAGGAAGAGGAAGGCGAACAGAAAGGCAGAGGGAGGCCTCTTGGATGCTTGTCGGAGTCTCTTCGGATATCTCTTGACAGTTTCTTGTAGGCCTGCTGGGGCGTCTTGGGGGCCTCGTGGCGGTCCCGGAGGCCTCTCCAGCGTCTTGGGTGCCTCGGGGGAGCCTCTTGAGGGTCTCTTGGGGGTCTTTTGGGAGCCTCTTTGGGGTATCTTGGGACATCTTGGGGCCTCCTGGGTGCCTCTTGGGGCAATGTTGGGAGCCTCGGGGGCCATCCTGGGGCCATCTTGGAGGTGATCGATCAAAGAAGGGGGAGTGCTTAGTTAGCGTTGCCCCCCCCCAGGAGGCCAAAATGTGGCAAACACAAATCAATGATTTAGGCCTTCTCGCCTAGGCCATCTTGGACGCCGTAACTGCTCGCGAAACGCCCCGTCCAGGTCCAGAGGGAGGAGGGAGGGGGAGGGGTAAACCTGCGCGAATGGGAAGGAGGGGGTTGGAAGAAGACACTCCCTAAACCACTCACACCCTAAAGGGTTGGCGGGATGATCCCGCCGCTTGGGGAAGCCCGGCAAGGCTCTTCCCGTGAGGAAGGGGGGAAGGGGGGGCTGATGTTTCTTTGGCACGCCAACGGCCGCTCGAAATGTCGGTGAACTTTTCGTCACACCGCTGCACAAACTTCAATCGTTCACCTCAAGAATGTTCCGCGCGCCCCTTACGGGATCGCGAATCGCGCCCGCGACGCCTCTTTCTTCTGAGCGCCCGACAACGGGCGCCGGCAGCAAGGCAGTCGCACGGGCAAAGGCAACTACAACGTAGGGAGCGCGCTTCCTCTGTGCCATGCACGCTGCGCACTCCGTGTAGGCCTCGGGCCTCATGAGGACCTGGCTGCCGCCCCTTTCTCGTCGTCCATTTCCTTGCAGGCTTTCCTGAAGCCAGCCACGATCCTCGCGGCGACTTGCTGCGCCTTCGTGGTGTGCACGGCTTTCACCTGCTGAAGACTCAGGGCGGCACGACACGGAACGGCACGGCACGGCACTGCGGCCGACGTCGGCAATCCGCGACGAGAGTTACGAGGAAATGATGAAATGTCGCTGCTAAGATCTTCATCGTTTTCCCCCAGCATGACCCGCGCGCCTCTTACAGGATCACGCCCTCGACGAATCTCGTTTGTTCGCAGAGCGCCAGACAACGGGCGCCAGCGACAAGGCAGTCGCAAAGGGCAAGGGCAACTATAGCGTGGGGAGCGCGCTTGCTCTGCGCCATGCACGGCTGCGCCCTCAGCGTAGGTTCCAGACCTCATGAGGACCTGGCTGCAGACCCTTTCTTGTCGGCCACTTCCGTGCAGGCTTTCCTGAAGCCAGCCGCGATCCTCGCGGCGACTTGCTGCGCCTTCGTGGCGTGCACGGTTTTCGCCTGCTGAACATTCAGCACGGCGCGGCACGGCACGGCACGGCACGGCGGCCGACGTCGGCTATCCGCGACGAGAGTTACGAGGAAAGGATGACATGTCGCTGCTAAGATCTTTATCGTTCTCCCCCAGAATGGCCCGCGCGCCCCTTACAGGATCGTACCCGCGACGATTCGTTTTTTGTTTGCCAGAGCGCCCGACAACGGGCGCCAGTGACAAGGCAGTAGGCAGTCGGAAAGGGCAAGGGCAGCTATAGCGTAGGGAGCGCGCTTCCTCTGCGCCATGCACGCTGCGCCCTCAGCGTAGGCTTCAGACCTCATGAGGACCTGGGGACCTGGCTGCCGCCCGTTTTCTTGTCGCGTCCATTTCCTTGCAGGCTTTCCTGAAGCCAGTTACGATCCTCGCGGCGACTGCTGCGCCTTCGTGGTGTGCACGGCTTTCACCCGTTGAGATCCAAGACGGCATGACACGGAACGGTACGGCACGGCGGCCAACGTCAGCTACCCGCGACGAGGGTTACGAGGAAACGATGCAATCTCGTTGCGAATATCTGTATCGTTCTCCCCCAGAATGATCCGCGTGCCCTTGACAGGATCGTGCCCGCGACGATTTTCGTTTGTTCGCAGAGCGCCCGACAACGGGCGCCAGTGACAAGGCAGCCGCAAAGGGCAAGGGCAAGTATAGCGTAGGGAGCGCGCTTGCTCTGCGCCATGCACGTTGCGCCCGCAGCGTAGGCTTCAGACCTCATGAGGACCTGGCTGCCGCCCCTTCCTTGTCGTCCGCTTCCTTTCAGGCTTCCCTGAAGCCAGTCACGATCCTCGCGGCGACTTGCTGCGCCTTCGTGGTGTGCACCGTTCTCACCTGCTGAATGTCCAGGACGGCGCGGCACGGCACGGCACGGCGCTGCCCGCGTCGAGAGTTACAAGGAAACGATGACGTCCCGCTTCGTCGTGACAGAAGTTTCCTCTGACATGCAGTACAAACCGAAATCACCGAAGGGTGAACGTCGGGAAGGCACTGAGGCAATTGTTGCACACATGGAAAGCGGCTGGGATCATTGGGCTGGGATTTGGGATAAGCCAGGATATTCTTAACGTGAAAAAAAGACAGGGTCATTTCCGATCTAGATCTAACTTACCCCAGTGCGACCTTACCTGGAAGTTTGAGCCCCTAGGACAGCAGCATTATTTGCTATGCTATGCTATGCTATGCAATGCTATGCTGCGCTATGCTATGCTATGATATGCTATGCTACGCTATGCTATGCTATGCTATGCTATGCTGCGCTATGCTATGCTATGCTGTGCTATGCTGTGCTATGCTGTGCTATGCTGTGCTAAGCTATGCTATGCTATGTCATGCTGCGATGTGCTATGCTAAGCTATGCTATGCTACGCTATGCTATGCTTGGCTATGTTACGCTATGCTATGCTATGCTGCGCTAGGCTAAGATAAGCTAAGCTAAGCTAACCCTCTAGGCAGAGCCTAGGTCGGGAATTACACCCATGCTAATTACCCGAACAGAGAAATGAACTGGCAACGCGGTTGGCACACACGAGCGCCACAACATACACCCACAGATCCGGGGCAGGAGGACTAGGAGCTGGATGACGGTGAGGATGACGAGGAGGAGCAGGTGGCAGCGGCGGCAGTGGCGGCAGCGGCGGCGTTGCCCACGGATCCGTTTTTTTGTTTGCTCTAGGCGGGGGGGACGACGACGACGCTTTGCCCTTGCTTTGCTTTTGCTTTTGCCTTTCCTTTGCTTTGCTTTTGCATGTGCTTTGCTTTGCTTTGCTTTGCGTTGCTTGTGCTTTGCTTTGCTGTCGCTTCTGTTGCGTTGCCTTTGCTTTGCTGCTATGCTCTGCTCTGCTCTGCTATGCTGCGCTGTGCTATGCTGTGCTGTGCTGTGCTGTGCTGCGCTATGCTATACTATGCTATGCTATGCTATGCTATGCTGCGCTATGCTATGCTATGCTGGGCTATGCTATGATATGCTATGCTGCGCTATGCTACGCTATGCTATGATATGCTGTGCTCTGCTATGCTAAAGCTCAGCGAAACTAAGATGAAGGTAAGCTAAGCTAAGCTAAACCTGAGCTAAGATGAAGCTAAGCTAAGCTAAGATGAAATAAGCTAAGCTAAGATGAAATAAGCAACGCTAAGCTGAGGGGACGTAAATGGGGGAACCGCGGGGCGGATACTGGGGGAACCGCCCGGGGCGCTTTCCACTGCCCGGCCCCTTTAAGCCCAGAGAGTAAGAACCCTTCTAGGCAGAGCCTAGGTAGGGAAACAGATGGGGTAACTTCCGTTCTAGATCGAACTTGCATTAGTAAACACCAGGACCCCAAGGGTATAATTATCCCGCCGCCGGGGAGAACCCAACAAGGCTCTTCTAGTCAGGAACCGACTGGTGCCACTTTGGTACGCCAGCGGCCAGTCGAAATTTCACGGGGACTTCCGGCGCGCCGCTGCACCAACACATCATTTAGAATGTGTTGGATGGTCATACCATGTCATCAAGGCAGCATATCAAAGACGCCTGCGGCGAATCACCGTAACCCCCTGCCTTTTAGAAGCGCCTCTGTGGCCGAACGTTGTGGTCAGAGCTCGGCCAAGCTATCGGGCCATGTGCTCCCCAATCCGTTGTGGAAACGCTTCGGGGAGCACGTGGAGGAGAAAGAAGAGGAGGAGGACAGATCTCATCGTGCTTTCCTGGAGGTTCTCTCGGAGGCGGCTTCGGGGCCTCTGGCCGTCTCGGTCCATTCTGGGCCCATCTTATGCCGTCGTGGATGCATCTTGGGCCGTCGTGGGGACATCTTGAGGCCATCTTGGTTTCTATCGGGCTCATCGTAGCCGTCTTGGAAACAATTTTTAGCCGGCTTGGGGGCCATCCTGGGGCCGTCTGGAGCGGGAAGACCGATGCTCTTGAAAATTAACGGGTCCGTTTGGAACACGATCTGGGACGGCTACGGGTCCTTACTCCGTGCCGGTGGGATTGGACCGAAACCCGATTTTGAGATTTTCAACAAAAAAAAAACAAGAAACTACCCAACATCCGGCACGCTGGTTCACCCGTGTGGCAAGCCACAGCGGGCGGCGGATCTGGTGGCCTTCGACCCATCCCGCCACCGTGCTTGGGTTGTGGGTCAGAGGCCCCTTGGATGCCTGTGTGGATCTCATGGGGGCCTGTCGGAAGCCTCTTGGTCGCGGTTTTGGGGGTGCCTTGGGGCCTCTTGGAGGTCTCTTGAGGGTTTCTTGGGGCCTGGTTTGGGCCTCCTGGGACTTCCGGGCACATGTTTGCGGTCTCGGGGGTCATCTTCGGGTGGAGGGCGTGAAATGTTAGTTCGAGTTCCCCCTCGTGGGCCCCTCTGGGGGCCGTCTTTGGCTTGGGCCGTCTGGGGTTATTGTAAATCAATTGAGCCGTTTGGAGGCGATTTTGAAGGCCTCTTGGGCCGCTTTGGAGCGTCGGAAGCCCGAAAAGGCGGGAACGCTAAAATATTTCAATAATCAATTGGCAATCAATGCTGAATGATTTGGGCATCTGGGAGCCCTTTTGGTTGGCCTCTTGCAACCCTCTCGGAGCGCATCGGGGGCATCTTGGGCTGTCTGGAGGCCATCTTGGGCGTCTTGGAGCGCACTTCGCGCGACTCGGAGCTCTTTTGGGCCGTCGTAGGAGCCTCTCGGGATCCTCCTAGCCCGTTCTGGGGCGCTCTTGCCTCCGGAACGGTTTATGGAGAACACGCACCAAGCCTGAAGAGCGCCTGGAGCTGGGGGCTGCGGACCCCTTGAAGAGCATGACTAACACAGATGGGTCTGATATACCTGAGAGCACTCAAGTTCGTGTCTCGACGCGCCGTGGCGGAGGGTAGCATGCCACCACACAGCCGTATCATAGTACAGTATCGCATAGATTTGCAATGTCTTAGCGTTGCGCCTCATAACGTGACGTACCACCAGTGAACCATACCATCGCGTAATGGTTGCATCGCATACCATGTCTTTTCAAACAGTCGCATACTACTACCACAGCGTCGCATAGCGTAGCGTATCATGGCATAGCACAGCGAGTCACAGCGCAGCATAGCGCGGCATAGCGTGGCAGAGCATGGAATACCGCAATCGATTACGCTAGTCGCATCAGCGCCAGCATTAGGACAGCATGCATTTGCATCGTACAGCGTAGCATTAGATGACAGAGCCAAGTTACATGGAACACTTGGAGAATTGAGAAGTTTCCAGGGACCCTCGTGGAGCCTGAGCGATTGGGGCTGGAGGACGTGACTGCCACTGGGCCTCTCAGTGGGGACCCCTTTCGGCAAAGCTCGGTTGTACGAAAACAACCCTGAGCTATCCCTGGCTCTGGCCGGCCACCAGGTGTCGTGGTGATCCTGACTGCGCCACTGGGTGTTTCGCAGAGTACGGTTGTCCGAGGCTTGATAGATGGCTGAACTGCACGGTAGAGACCAAGCAGTGCGTGAGCGTTCCCGAGGTCGGAGCGGGACTCGCAAATTGATAGACAAACTTCCGTAAGTATTGCCACCCCTGGCGGCGCGCGATCCATGCCGATTTCTCCGATTCGATTCGATTCGATTTCGATGGCTTCCGATTCCGATTCGATTCGACTTGGGATTCGATTCGGGCTCCGATTTCTCCACGGAGGCATATTAGCCTGCCGATGTCTGCCGACTCGACTTCTCCCGACTCGGCTGCAGATTTCCGCCGATCCGACTCATTTCGATCGCCGATCCGACTTGTCGATTCGATTTCGGGCTCTCCTGCCTTTGCAGCGGCGATGTAGGTTTGCCTCCCAGCGACCGTGGCTGTGCCCCTCCCGTCGTAGGCGAGCTTTTGAGGGCGGACAGACCTCTCAGAAGAATGAGCGGCGGATGTCTCCAAACGGGTATAGCGCGACGGCTCTGAGCGGCCACGGCCACCTGTGGCCCAGGGCTGGACCTGAACGTTGTTTCGTTGGACTTCGGTCGTGTTTTGTTTTTCGCTTTTGGCAGGGAGGTAGCGGAAAACAGGCAGGGCAAAACGACACGCAAAACGAAGAATGGCATTTGAGTTCAGCCCGGTTGTGGGCTGTGGCCTGAGGAGTTGCGCCACCCCGAGGGCCGTCCCAGCGAAGCGGGCCTCGATGCGCGGGGTCAGCCGTGCTCTCTCGTGCAGGCCTCGTGCTGGAGCAGGGTGCCGCCGGCCCCCGCTCGCAGCGTCGGCGCCGGGCCAGGAGCACGGCCAGCGCGGAGGGGACACCCCGGCGGGCACGTGGCCCTGCGCGGGCAGCCCTCCAAGTTTCGGCAGGGGCTCCAGAAGTAATCCTGGCCCACACGGTTCAGGTCAGTGACGGGTGAGGGTGGAGGGCGGAGGGGGGGCAATCTGTTGTTGTCGTATACGACGCTTTGTTTGTTTGTTTGTTTGTTTGTTTGTTTGTTTGTTTGTTTGTTTGTTTGTTTGTTTGTTTGGGGGTGGAGGGTCGTTGCTGGATGGGATGTCTGCCCGTCTTGCCATGAGATTCCGGCTCCCTGAACCAGTGAGTCCAATTCTTAACGCTTCGTACATCCTCCCAGTCCATTCCGAAACGATGCCCAGGCGAGTTACCTTGGTTAGGGAAGTGTAGGAGCAAGCAGTGCAACTAGCAAGGAGGGGCAGCCGTCAGACCGAAGCTCGGCGGGATCAGCCTGAGCAGACCCATGAGCCAACCCGAAACGCATTAGCGGACATTTCGGTATGGGAGCCCATTGGCAGCTTGCTTGGGCTATCTTGCGGTCCTCTTGGGGCCATCTGAGGGGTCCTTGGAGGAGGAGGAGGAGGAGGAGGAGGAGGAGGAGGAGGAGGAGGAGGAGGAGGAGGAGGAGGAGGAGGAGGAGGAGGAGGAGGAGGGAGGTGGGAGGAGGAGGAGGAGGAGGAGGAGGAAGAAGAGAGAGGAGGAGCGGAGAGGGAGGAGAGGGAGGAGGAGGAGGAGGAGGAGGAGGAGGAGGAGGAGGAGGAGGAGGAGGAGGAGGAGGAGGAGGAGGAGGAGGAGGAGGAGGAGGAGGGAAGAGGAGGAGGAGGAGGAGGAGGAGAGGAGGAGGAGAGGAGAGGAGGAGGAGGAGAGGAGGAGGAGGAGGAGGAGAGGAGGAGGGGAGGAGAGGAGGAGGAGAAGGAGGGGAGGAGAAAAGAGGAGGAGAAGGAGGAGGAGGAGGAGGAGGAGGAGGAGGAGGAGGAAGAGGAAGAGGAGGAGGGGGGGGGAGGAGGGGAGGGGGAGAGGCTCTCTTGGGGCCCTCTGGGCCCCCCCTTGAGGTTTTGGGCGTCTTGCGGCGTCCTGGGGCCAACGACCCCAAAAGAGAGGGCGAGCTCCATTACGCCCCTCCCCCATCGGAGCCCAAGAATCCTCCTCCTCCTCCTCTCCTCCTCCCCCTCCTCCTCCTCCTCCTCCTTCCTTTCATCCTCATCCTCTCACCTTCTCCTCCTCCTCCCTCCTCCTCCTCCCTCCTCCTTTCTCCCTCCCTCCCTCCTCCTCCCTCCTCCCTCCCCCTCCTCCCTCCTTCCCTCCTCGCTCCTCCCTCCTCCCTCCCCTCCTCCCTCCCTCCTCCCTCCTCCCTCCTCCTCCTCCTTCCTCCCTCCTCCCTCCGTCCTCCTCCCTCCGTCCCCCTCCCTCCTGTAGCCCTCTTGTGGAGATCTTGGGCCGTCTTGGAGCCAGATTGGGCCCCTCTTTCTTCGGCCACAGCAGAGCATCCTTGAGGCTCCCAGAGCAAGTCGGAAACGAACCTGTGAGAAAGCAGATGCCGCCAATATTCTTCAAGATGGTGGAAGGGTGTTGGCCTCTCAGGCACGTCCTTGGGAGGCTCTGTGGCCTCGCAGCAGGAGCCGTTATCGGGCGGTCTTGCGGCTTCTTGGAGGCATGATCGAGAGGCTATCTGGAGGACGTCTTAGATTTTCTTGGGCCCTATTGAGTCCCCTTCGGGCCATATTGGAAGCTCTGACCGCTCGCGCCGACCTCCCCTCCACATCCGGCAGATGGGGTAGGGGGAGGGCCCCCCCCCTAACCGAATGGGAAGCACGGGGCTGGAACAGCGCAATCATTATGCCACCTATGCCCACAGGGCTGGTGTGACTGTATCTGATAATGTGTTTTGGATAGGTCAGTTCATGACGTGTCCAAGACTTTGACCAGGAGGCCACGATCTAAGCATAGCATCGTCGCGGACCCATCACAGCGACTCTGTTCAAGGTATGAGGTGCAGCCCTTCGGGTGCCACCTATGGGACTTTTCGCGTAGGCCCCTACCATGTGGGGAATTGTGACGTGGGGTTCTATCGCGTGGGCCTCTATCGTGTGGGACCTGATCGTGTGGGGCCCTTCGCGTGAGACCCTAACGCGTTGGGAACCCTGTCGTGTTGGGCCCGACTACGTGGGGCCATATCGTATGCTTGAGCGCAACGCCGGGCTCCGCCGCGCGAGAGGCCTGCAACGCCATGCGCCACCAGAAATCCGGGTAATTGAGGCTGCGGTTAACTCATGGGAAGTTAACGGGGGAAGTCTGTGGACAAAACAACAAAGGCACAAAAGAACTGTATTTTTCCACCGTGCTTTTTGTTTCAATTCCACGGTGTTGTTTCCACAGTTTGTGTGTGTTTTTTCCACAGGGGAGGGGGGGCGTAACGACGCGCACCGCTGGAGTTCCAGGCAACTGGGGCCAACTTCTTAAAAGCAGAAGTGAGTGCCGTCACGTGCAAGCGCTGCGCGTGGAACATTGAGAATCTGCCTTCTGACGGGTCCAGTATTGCGTACGTGGGTCCAGCTTCACTTCATTCCACATTTTTTGCTCAGGGTCCCATTTCGCCATTTCGGGGACAGGGGTAACCTAGAAACAAGTGTATTCAGAAAAGGTGGGCACTCGAGAGGGTAAGCATTTGGGCATGGCCCTTGCGAGGGAACGTACGACGTAAAGAAGTTCTACGAGACTGACGTCCCTGTGAAGCTCAAGGATTTCGATGTGGGCAGACTGAATGGCACATGGTACAAGGTCCGCGGCTACAACTCGAAGTACGACTGTTACCCTTGCCAGACCAACACGTTCAAGTACGATGCCGCGTCGAACACGATGGAGACAGAGGTGAAGCTCCGCCTAGCGAGGCCCAAATCGGGAGGCTATTGGGCAAACACGCTGACAGAGAAAATGAAGGTCTCTGCCGAGACGGACAGGAGCACGCTTCTCGCGAAGGGTGAGATATTTGGCTTGACTTTCCAGGAGGAGTGGTACGTCCTCGGGGCGGACGTCGACTTCGTTTTCGTTGCGTACACTGGCAACAACCTGCAGGATGCCTACAAGGGTGGCTACGTGTACGCGAAAACCCCGACCTTGTTGCCAGATGTTGAGGAGAAGGCAAAAGCTGTGGCAGAGAAGAACGGCTACGCGTGGTCGAATTTTTGTGTGATTGACAACTCTTGCCCAGCACAGGCTGAGGAGGATTATTCAAAAGCTGTCAACTTGGGCTGGGATGACCTGCCTGATTTGATCGAATGGTTTGCGCCTGGCACCACACGGGGTGGCACGAAGAAGGAGGCTAATTTTACGGGCGAGTATTGAGTAGTGGCATCCCCGCGAGCCCCTCACCATTCTGCTCTGACCCGATAGTCTCGCTTTTGTTGCTACCCCTGCTCGTCGGACCGTCGTCAGATCTTTGCTGCCCACTACTTCCGGCTCGTCTCTCCCCTGTGCTATCCTTTTCTTGAGTTTTGTCTTACCCTTTCTACTCAAGTTCGTCCTCTATGTCTGGACTATCGTCCATTTCTTCCTTGATATGTCCTCACCATACAAGTTTCAACCTGAAGCGTCCGACTTGTGAGTCGAGTTTCTTAGGCCACCAGGGGACTTTATCAACCATCCGCAGTCTATCGTTCCAATCAGCGGAGATTTTGTGATGGGGAGCGGAAGACCGCGCTGGCGGCAAAACATGAGTGCGGCAATATGGAATGTAATAATGATTGTCCGATCGATGTATCGCAGAAAGAGAGAAGGCGAGCATGGTCACACAGGCATGCTGGGAATCAGCCGAATAATATGTGGAGTGTACCTGGTGTGCCCTCAGTGCTTCGCATCGAGTCCGTGGAGCCCCTCGAGGGGCGACTCTCAGCGCGGGCTCGCTGCCGCGCCTTCTTGGCTTCTGTGCTCGACCGGCCAGGGCTTCGGCCACCCTGTGCAGGTAAGCCTCAAGGTGCCGAGGCCGCCATCCTGGGTTTAGAGGCTGGCGCTCTCTGGCATCAGAAAGAAGCAAAGCTGAGCTACCTCCTTCTCCTCCTCCTCCTCCCCTTCCCCCTCCTCCTCCTCCTCCTCCTCCTCCTCCTCCTCCTCCTCCTCCTCCTCCTCCTCCTCCTCCTCCCCCTCCTCCCCTCCTCCTCCTCCTCCTCCTCCTCCTCCTCCTCCTCCCACCTCCCTCTCCTCCTCTCCTCCTTCCTCCTCCTCCTCCTCCTCCTCCTCTCCTCCTCCTTCCCTCCTCCTCCTCCTCCACCTCCTTCTCCTCCTCCTCCTCCTCCTCCTCCTTCTCCTCCTCCCCTTCCTCCTCCTCCTCCTCCTCCTCCCCCTCCTCCTCCTGCTCCTCCTCCTCGTCATCCAGAGGCTGTCGGCTTGTAGCCTCGCCAGCGCGCAGAGGGAGATCCCGGCCCGGCACGCCAACGGCGGGGCGCTCGCTCCGGCTTGGAGTGCGCATCGCAAGGTGCGGCCGGGCTGGCCGCGATACCTGTGGCGCGCTGCCCCCGCGCGCGGGCCGAGGGGCACCGGCATGGGCTGCGAGTGCTCGCCCAGGCAGGCGCCCGTGGCTTCGAGGCTCGCCCGTCGCTTGGGCCCGCGGGCCTCCACGGCCACAGCACGAGGTGCAGATCGACGATGATCGACGGCCCCGCCCAGCTCGGGGTGCCTTCGGCAATCTCGATGGGTGGACTTTCGAGGGCTCCCTGCCTCGGCCACGCGCAGAGGGGGGTGGGGGGGGGAGGGCTTCTCAGAAGCACCCCCGCTTCTTAGAAGGCACGGGCCCTCTCTATAGATGTAAGGCCGGCGCCTTCTAAGAAGCAGCCTCCTTCTAAGAAGCCCTCCCCCCTCCCCCTACCCCCTTGTGCGCGCCGCCAATGGTCTTCAGCACCACAAATCTCGTCGTCGCTGTGCCCAGGCGCCTGATCTCGGTAGGTTGTCAGAGTTCTCTCGGCTCGTCGTGGTCCGTCGCAGCAGTGTTGCGTCCGTCGTGGTCCGAAGCAGCCGACGCTCGCCGATTCAGGCGAGCAGTGGCATTTGCCGATCTGAGCAAGCGTGACTCGAAGGAGAGAAAACCACGTAAATGTAAACTTTTGGCGCTCCGAGCGGATTTCTTGGATCCGCGCCTGGGCCCCCCCCGCGGCGCTTCTGGCGCCGCAGCTGGCGCGCTCCGCGCACTAGGGAGGGGGGTCCAGCGCGAATCCAAGAAACCCGCGCGGAGCGCCGAAAGTTTATGTTTACGTGTTTGTTTCTTCTTCTAGTGACAGACATTCTTCTGATGGATCGAACAGCTTTGGCGCCACGAGTATCGGCGATGGTGCGAGGTGTTGTGCTACTGTGCAGATGGTGGTGGTAAGAGGAGCGCCTGAGCGTGCATCTTCGGTGCTCGCACTAAGTCCTTGCAGAGATCACCGTATTCTGCCCGGGCGGCCCAGGATTTGCGTCTGGCGTCAGGCTTGCCCATGCAGGCTGTGGCCGAGTGAGACAAGGTCGGATACCAGGCTGGATCACAGCGGAACTGGATGAACAATTTTGGAGCCCTCATGAGGCAGATGGCCCGGCTGGCTCATGCATCCAGGGCCCAGCCAGCTCAAGCATGCAGGCGCTTCGTGTCTTGACACAACGTGGGGCCAGATGGCCTGGGTGGCCCGCCAGGAGCTCTTTTGGAATAGCTGATACGAGCCAGCATCTGCACTGGCACGTTTTTCCTGGCGGCAAACTCATCTGTGGCGAGAGAGCCGCGACCGAATGCCAGGGAAACCCAGTGATGATGTTTGAGCTGCTCCATAGTGCGCAGGCGCTAAGCGTTTTACGGCCGAGAGCGGAACGGAAACCGTTGGCATTTCCTGCTGGGCAACGAGCAGGTGTTTCCCATTAGCGCATTTTTGACGGGGGTTGGTCGAACATTCTCTTGCAAGCAGAATGTTCCACGTTGCATTTTGAAGATGGTATGGACGTCGGGGAAAGATGCACCACATAACAACATTCAATGTAAGTGCGTACGAACAAACGATTCTTGGAAGTTGACCAGGTGCTTCACTCCCATGCCGTCTCATTGGATCGTAGTCCAGTTCGTTCTTCCAGCCATGACCGCTGCGGGCCTAACAGGTGCTTTAGGCCCCACCATGCTGTTGAGTTGGGAGTGTCATTATGTTTTTTCTCGCCTGGCTACAAAGTCGAAGAAATCCAGTCCTTATGGGCGAGAGGGGAGGGTGTGAAAGATCGAAGAGGTTTGCAGCAAGACGAGCAGCTGATCGTGCCATGCTGCATTGTACCAACCTATACGTGCTTACCCCTTCCATCGAAAAAGAAAGCACGCATACACATACAATTTCGGGCGTCCGCGTGGACTTCCAGTGTCTGTGCTGGACCCTCCTGGCAGCACATCTGGCGCCGCCCCCGGCGCGCTCCGCGCGCCAGGAAGGGAGGCCCAGCGCCGATCCAAGAATTCCGCGCGGACCCCCGAAAGTTTATGCTCTGCAGCGTGTCTGGTGCTATTATCATGGCACTATTGAAGCACCTTCAGTCCCTCGGGCGCTCTCAGACTCTGGTGGGCCCTCGCATGCACGCGCGGTGTAAGTTTACAGCGACGTTCAGGGTCGCTGCTGCGGCTCTTCCTGGCGTGCTGATGGTTCGGATTGCGAGACATGTCTCGCGTGGCTGTCCTGACCCGTGTGCGCAGCATGTGTACCAAGCTGTGCCAGCGTTCCGTAGCAGGAGGCTCGAGTCGTTTCAATTAGGTGTTGCAGTGTCTCTGGCAGGGCCCGCTGCCCGCCTTCTGCAGTGGCGGATGGATCGATCCCTGGTCTTGTGAATGAGAGCGGGTGCTCGGTCGCCGTTGTGGAGGAGATCGGATCGGAGTGTGCGCATCACTAGGCGCTGGCCTTTCTCGACATGGATTGGCACGCGCTGCACTTCTGAAGTGGCTTGGGGGCTCGGGCCCAAGGCGGTTGGCTTCTTGTTGGCTCACGCCACTTCCGCTTCAACCCATCGTTTCAGAGGAATCGGGGCTTAACTGAGGACTTTGGCAAGCTGGCCTGCAGGAACCCGACGGGGTCAACATGCAATATCTTTACCATTGAGAGGGCCCGATCGAGTTGCTGGCAGCATAGGCCACTACTTTGGCCATGGCTCCTCCTGCTCGCCTTTCTGCTGCTGCTCCTCCTCTGGCTCATTCGGCATATCCACCGCATCGCGCTGCCCCCGTGCCGCACCCTGCAAGCCTCAGAATCAGCAGACGTGAGATCCGCTGGCAGCTGCGCCAGCGGCGCAGCTTGCTCTGCGGCGTGCGGAGAGCATCGCCAGAGCAACCGGATGCGCTCCAGGCAGGCGCCGTGCGCACCGTCTCCGTGCTGCACCCCACCCGAGGGTCGGCGGGCCCGAAGCCGAGCCCGACCGCGGTGCTCCGCGTGAGGCCCGGCTCGCCCTGCTGATCGACGGGGACCGCTTCGGCCCGCTGCACTGGCCGGGGATCATCGGCGCCGTCGAGGCTCGGGCGGGCGGCCACGGGGGCTGGCCTAAATGAGGGGCGCAGGGGAGGGCCCGAAGCAGGCCCTTGATAGGCCCCCTCGGGGAGCCAGCAGGGGGCCAAAAGGGGTCCCAAAGGGCCCCACATGTAGGGCCCGTTGCTTCACCCCACGTGCGGTCGGCGGCGAGCGAAGGGGGGAAGGGAGAAGGCGAGGGCCTTCTCAGAAGGCGGCGGGACTTCTCAGAAGCCCTCGCGCGCTCTCGGAGCAGTGCTCTGCGCCTTCGGGGAAGGATGGTAGCCAACGACTTCTCTCGCAAGGCCCCGCGGGGGCCTCCTGGCCTTCTGAGACGGCCCGCCCCTCTAAAACAGGGCTGGGATCGGGAACACTCGCTCCAGAGCGTTCCGGAGCGCTCTCAGAGATTTCGAGTCATCCCGATCCGATTTTGGCCCGACCTTCGCGTCGTTTTACCCTCCCTCGCTTCCCCCCCCCCCCCGGGCTCGCCGCCGACGTTTGGGCCGCCCCCCCCCGCGACCGCCCGCCCGGAGAGGCCAGGGGCCCGCTGGCGTGCACGCACGTGTTCGGCCCCCCGGGCATGGCCCACCACGGCGCCTGGGCGAGGGCGCTGGCCGCCGAGCGGGCCGCCTTCGTCCCCGTGCCCCGGCGGCGCGGCGGCGGCAAGGACCCCAACGACCTCGCCATGGGCATGCACGCCACCCGGCTCGTCTCCCAGGAGCTCAGAGGGAGCTCGAATGAATGTCACCACCCACCAAACCACCCCAACCCAACCCGAAGGCTCAGATGTACCCTCGATTTCCAGTTGGGGGGGGGGTCGGGAAACATAGAAAAAACACGTGTGGAGCCCTTACCCCCCCCCCCCAACTCGAGATTCGGGTCTTCGGGTTGGGTTGGGGTGGTCTGGTAGGTAGTCAGAAGGGGGGACGATCAAGGAGGGGAGAGACAGAGATGCCCTTTCGGGCCCTAGAGGGTCCCCTGCTGGGCCGGGGCCCCTTTAGGGGCCCTCCAGGGCCTTTCGGCACTCGCTGCCCCCGCACTTCTCGCCTCCCCATTCTACGCGTCCTCCGATCGGAGTTCCGAGCCATCAGGGCTGGAGTTGGGCAGGGGTAGCTACAGATTCGCGCCTCGGGGGCCCAAACAGGAGCTACCCCGGACCGCAGTCCTCCTGGATCATTCGGGCGTCCAAGCCTTTAGAATCATCCGGGCGGGGGGCAGTCAGGGGTAGCTACGGGGGCCCAAGCTGGAGTTACCCCAGACCGCAGTCATCCCAGATAATTCGGGCGTCCAACCCTTCCGAATCATCGGGGCGGGGGGCAGTCGGGGGTAGCTACGGGTTCGTGCCTCGGGGGCCCAAACTGGAGTTACTCCAGACTGCATTTATCCTGGATAATTCGGGCGTCCAAGGATCATGGGCGCCGGATTGACCGAATCGCTCTCGCGGTTCAAGATATCGATACACCAGCTGGCGCAGTGCGTCCGCCACGTCTGTGAACGGCTCCCAGAGAGGACAGCTTTTTCGATTACCCTCACCTCCTTGCCTGCCTCCCTAAACCGCAACGTGTACACATCGACATCATCCTGAATGCGCCCTGCTGTTTTGCCACAGGCGAGCATGATTGCCAAGATTTCGCTCGGGAGAGGGGGGGGGGATTGGCAGGGGAAGGAAAGGTCGACGACAGGGGATGATGAAGAGGATGATCGAAAGGTATTGGACAGCGGGGTCTGAACCACACTTCTGGCATGTTTGGGGCTGGGAGGGGGGTGGTGTAGCATGAGTCCATAGGCTGCTGAGGGCCCGTCCATCTCGAGTTCTCGTTAGCCCGTCTGGCCCGTCCGACCTGCTCGTTGTCGCTCCCCTCGGATGAAGATCAGCTCTCCTCTCCACCACCCACAGTTTCGTCTCCTCCATCCCCGGTGTCCTCTCCGCTCTGCCTGAGGGGGCCGCCCCCCCGGGGCGCGCAGTCCCCGTCTCATTATTTGGCCGCTTCTCCCTGCCCGAGGGCGAGGCGGATTTTGTCTACCTGGCGGAGTGCCTCCGCTCGTGGGGCCACCGCGTGCTGATCCTGCTCCCCGAGGGGCAGCACAGACGCCTGGCTGCCACGTTCGAGGAGGCGCGAGCTGAGGTGGCTTTCTACGTGCCTCGAGGTGGGTATACCGGGAGGGGCAAGTTCAAGGCTGTCCTGCACAGCTCCGGGGAGGGAAGCATAGAGGAGGCGTCTGCAGACGACTATTCGCAGAGCGAGCTGTTCGACACCACGGAGGTGATGAACATGATGATCGACCTGGGGTACGCGGAGAGCGACGCGGATCCCCTTGTCCCAGCACTTGCGAAGTTTTTTGTTACGCACAAGCTTGGCTCCCTAACGGTATGGCCCTCTCCATGCGCCTATGCGCAAACAGAAGCGGCCCTAGCAGAGAACAGAGCGCGCACGTGGACGAGAAATCGGCGCGACCAGGTTTTCGTTTTCCCGCAAGCGGCTCGTTCAGCTAAGGTCGACAGGTATGGCTCGCGACTCTGCGGTGCGATTGCCAAAGGAGGTGGCCCATTCGTGATTCAGGACAGCCCCGACCTGGTAACGCGTGTGCTCACCAGGCTCGGGTACTGCCACCCAGACTCGGACGCGTCTCTCGACGAAGCCATCGACGTGTTCTTCGAGGTGGGAATGAACCGAAGCAACATGGCCGCCCTGGGGCACCCGACCCCACCGCACGCCGCACGGCGCTCCCGGGCCGGCCTGCTGCACACCCTCCTCGCCTCCAGCCGCAGCAGCGGCGCGTGGCAGACCGCCCCGTCGGACAGGGCGGTGCGGCGGCTCCTCGAGTCCGCCGGGCGCCTGCCCGGCGCCGGGCGCGCCTCCCGGGGGCAGGTGCTCGCCTCCTCCTCCTCCTCCTCCTCCTCCTCCTCCTCCTCCTCCTCCTCCTCCTCCTCCTCCTCCTCCTCCTCCTCCTCCCCCTCCCCTCCTCCTCCTCCCCCTCCTCCTCCTCCTCCTCCTCCTCCTCCTCCTCCTCCTCCTCCTCCTCCTCCGCGCCCGGCGCCGGGCGCGCCTCCCGGGGGCAGGTGCTCGCCGCCATGCGGAGCTACGCCGCGCAGCGGGAGCTGCCGCCGCGGCGCTCCTACGTGGGGCTGGTGCACGAGATCCTGAAGCACCAGCGCTCGGCGGACCCGTCCGCGCGGGTATGAGGTGCCGGGTGCTGCTGGACGCCCCCCTGGCCCGAGGTACCCCCCAGGATTCTCGGGGTGGCCCAGGCGGCCTCCAGGGCACCCCTCACGAAGCCCAGAGGGCCCCAGGGGCTCCAAAATGGAGCGGAAAGCCTGGGGTACCTTGGGCCAGGGGCACTTCTCTTGGCATCGCTCGGACGTGTGCGTTTTTTCTTCGGCGAGGACCATCGAGGAGCATCCTTGATCATATGATCATTTGGCGAAGAAGCCACGCACGAAACCGAAAAAAACACAGGGAATGGACGTCCGAGCGATGGCCAGTTCTAGCAACACCCGAAGAGGTGTCCAGGCCAGGTCAGGCCGAGGCGAGCCTGCGGGCTCGAGCAGGGGCCCCAGGCCGCCGGTGGGTTCCTCGCCAGGCTGGGCATCGACAGTGGGGTGCGCGCTGGCCTGCCGCCGAAAACGCTACACGCAGGCGGCGAAGGATTGGGCAGGCACGCATAGCCATAAAGGAGGCAGGTGAGTGAGTGGGTGAGGGAGAGAGAGGGAGAGAGAAGGAGAGAGAGAGAGAGAGAGAGAAGCGAAGGCGACAGACAGGTGAGTGAGAGAGTGAGATATGGTGAGAGCAGCATGCGTGCTGGGCCAGGGCAGCGGCGCTGTGGATGACCGCCTGTGCAA